AGTCCGATACGATTTTGCTAACCTTTCTTTATCTGATGTCGTAAAAGTACAATCATAGTTGTATTATAAACTCCATAACGAAGTAGTGACGGTAACACCACGAAATAAAGTTTAGTTTTAATTGTTACGAAAATTTTTTGAATTCGTTTTTAGATTACGAAATTTACTTTAGATATTATGAAAATACTTTGGTTAAAGTAATAGTTTTTTTACGAATAATTGGAATAATTGGAGGTGAGTAATTTAACATTATTTAAACTGTAATTTTTCTTAAGTTCCTTTTTTTATTTTCTTATTTCAAAAATTTATTTTGCTTCCATATAGTTATTACTTTTATCATTTCTATCAGAGTCAAAATAAATCAAATTGTATTGTATTAGGATTCAAATTGGAACATGTTCCAAATAGAGTTCAGATGAAAGAAATGAAATTATTTGTTTAATTGTATGAGATCATTGTTTAAACATTGACTAAAACGTCAAAATTACCAAATGAGTTTTCTTAGAACCTAAAAAAAGTCGTCCGAATGAAAGCTTTTACTTTTTTTTTTCTTGAAAGTTAAAAAAAAAGTTAGTTTTTAGATTTCTAAATAAAATTTTATACATAATTTGTTTAAATTATTGAACAAAAACTATAATTTTTATATTTAATTATATCAGCCCATTCTTTCACGGTAAAATAATTGTAAAGCTTCAGAATTATAAAAAGTATCAGCCATTGATTTGAAATTTGAAACGCGCATAGGAAACACGTCAAAGAAAAAAGTTATATAGTGCAGATGTGTCCTTTTACCCCAGGAGTGTGTGCCACCAATTCTCGGAGGTGAAAATACCTTTACCTTTAAATAGGTTACCTTTCTCGGTAAATTAATATTTTCAAAGTTATTCACGCTTGAAATTGTTGACTGCCTACCTAAAAAATGATGTCTGTAAAGTAAGCATATCTAGTATATATTAGTATATTTGCTGCTTATTTATAACGAAAAAAAAAACATTTATTGCTGTAGCCGTTTCCGAGAAACAGTGGGCATGCTAACTTAACAGTAAAGCTAGCATAGCCATAGCTATACTTCGGCAAGGAAAGGGGGTAAGCTACCCCATCATGCCCCAGCTCAAAACACACCTCCGGAAAAACCTAGATATCGGCCAAAAACGTTGAAAGCTTAAAAGTAAGCCGTTATTAGGTAAATATTTTCTAATTTATTGCTGTTTTATGCCAAGAAACACTTTATGACTGCAACCGTTTCCCAAAAATAATAATTATTGAATCTGTCTTAACGTCATATTGTATTGCTAAGTAAATTTTCTTGAATAATGTTTGCTAAATTGTTTAATTTTAAAGAAGTTCGTTTCAGGATTGATTTAATTTGTTATAACAAATTCCTGTAATCCAGGGAAATTTGTGACGTTCCTCTTTTCAACACATGCTTTAAAAAATGTAACTTTTTTACGCAAGGCTTTGATTTTATCTAATTGGTGATTTTATTTATTATCTCAATAAATGGATAATCAGTGGATCTTTTAGTTTAAATAGTCTCCCTAAAATTGTTCTCCTCGATAGCCACGGGATCTCTATGTGGAGCAAAAGATTGAAGTGATCCATATCCATATTTTCAGCATTGACCTTTAAAATGCGTGATTAAAGCGAACGGTTCTTCACATGGTTAATTATTTTCACAGAACCATGCAATAGGTCTTTAAAATCTTGCGGCATATTTTTAGTTGCCAAAGAATGGCGATGTAAGATATAATTACTGTTGGAGGCCTGTTCTGCCACTAGTTTTAAGGTCGATTCAGACACATCAGTCCCGTCACAGTCTCGGCGCCGAACCGGTCCTGTTTGGTCACAGAACTATCAACTATCTGACAGCTGGCAAACTGTTCGTCAACTGATGAATGTGAATGCCGGCGCCATATTTCTATTAAAGAATATTTTGTATGACGGATTGTTCAGTTCGGCGCCAGGACTGTGACGAGACGTGACTGATGTGTCTGAATCGACCTTTATTCTAGACACCGGCCCTCTAATCTTACCAGCAGCCGCTCCTTTATCACTTCAAATATCCACACATCTACTCCACTTTATATCATTTTTCCTTAGATACTCGTGGATAGCCTTGAAAATGTCTATACCAGTGGCATAACTTATGGCTCTTCACACATGAGAGTTCTTCTATTGTCATCCCGAGTGAAAACTTACAAACCCAAGCAGAACAGCAAGTCCATTAACGTCAGTACTTTCATCAATCTGTAAACTGAAGAATTAGCAAGTTTTTAATCTATTTATAAGCTCTCTCTCTACAAAGTCTGAAAAAGTGTGAATTCTCTTGCTTATAGTGCTGTTTGACATATGCACATTATCAATCTTCTTGGTCATATCTGGACCTAACATGTATTGTACGACATCCTTCACGCAAGGTTTAATCAGTTTCTCGGCAATATTATGCGGTTTTCTAGCTTTTGCAATGTGCAAACCAACAATAAATGATGCTTCAGTGGATTTTTCGTTTTCATTTTTGCAGAATCATGCATGACCCTGCCTGAAGAGATGAAGCACGACGTTTGAAGGTTTCTTCAGCCTTAACGGCTAAACCAGAATGATTACTTCCTAAATGTCTTTTTAAATTTAGATGGAACCCAGCACCTATTAGCAACAATTTTGTGACAATTACCGCATTAGCCTTCTGGTGCCTGTTCGTTGCCAACTTGAATAAAGTCATGTAACGTAAGATAGCTAGGATCATACCTTCTTATTTTTCCCCAAATTTCTTTTTGGTAAAAATCCTTCTTTCCACGAATTTAGGAAGAAAAACTTGGATGAGCTAGACTTGAATGAATCTTGTAGATATTTGCATTTTCTCTATCTCTGCAATTTTCCATTATTCTAGAATGAAAAAAAATGTCCCAAATAAAATAGAGCAAAACAATGGCAACAATGAATTTTCCAAATAACCACGCTCACACCTCTTTCGATTCTGAACAACGCGGCCTCGGTCATTTTGTGTGCCTTAAACACTCTTCATTGTTTGATATGCTGCAGTACAATGGTCCTTTCTTTTAGATATAAATTTGATATTATTTGTGTCGTTTATTGACAGGGTCATTACAAGAAGAGAATAAACGTAGATGTGATCTAGCAAAAGTTGCCACAGCAAAAATGACCAAAATGTGGAAGGAATGTCAAATTTCAAGAGCGATAAAGATGAGGTTGATCAACTGCTTAATATTCCCAATACTGACCTACGGATGTGAATCTTGGACTCTGAGACAATCGGAGAGAAAAAAGATAGACGCCACTGAAATGTTCTGTTGGAGACGAATGTTACGAATTCTTTGGACCGACCGTAGAACAAATAATTCAATTTTAAGAGAGCTAAAAGTTAGCCAACGACTCTCTAGTAAAGTCCATCTCCAACAACTAAAATATTTTGGGCATGTTATGAGAGCAAACACAGAAAATATGGAAAGACTCATAATACAAGAAAAGGTAGAAGGCCGAAGATCACGAGGAAGATCCCCAACAAGATGGATAGATCAAATTACAGGAATATGCCAAAGACCTATGCATGAATTAAAAGAAATGACCAGAGACAGAGATCTCTGGAGACGGACAATACACGACATCACGTCGACCACTACACTCCCCCTGGGGGGTCAGAATTGAAGAGAGAGAGAGAGTGTCGTTTATTCCCGACCTATCGAAGGCTTTTTCAAAAGTCGATAAAGCTTGCAAAGACATCTGTGTTGGCATCACGCACTTGATGAGGGTGTAGTTTTCTTTATTTGTTAGAGAGGATAATTGAGAAGAGGAACATCACGTCTAAACTAAATATTGACTACAAGAGCTGATCAATATATTCTTACAAGGATCAACCTGAGAACTTTCAACATATGGAATTTGAGATAAATAAAAAGAAAAATTAAAGAAAACGTAATGGTGGGTGCCCCTATTTAAAAAAAAAGGGAAATAAATCATGGGCTGACTAGCAGAACAAATATAAAGATAATTCTGAAGAAACTATTAAATCTGGAACGAAAACAAAATATGGTTTTTACAACAACACACACTGTATATTGAACAAATATGATATGACAAAAATAAACTTCCTTAAACTATAAAATTCTAATTTGTGGTGCATAAACACATGCATTTGGTTGTTTTCGACTTAATGTATTTAAATTATCTTGAAATACAGCAATTACAATGAAGTCGTCAACAAAATATTCTCTGAAATATTATTTTCCATACATACCATATTTAGTCAGAGGCAAGTATCTTGTGATTTGTTTCCACGGTTTTCACCACAGTGAGGTGTGATATTTATAAACATTAGCGTATTAAACAAGGTGAGTCCTTTAAAACTATCTATCGGCTGGAAATTAATGTCCACAAAACTAGACCAGAGAAATAAGCAAAAGCCAGACTAGCCTTTTTCGTAATACTCTTTGATACATGTTTCACAAAAACAACTGTTTTTTATAAATTTGGTGAAAACAATATTTGCAAACTATTAAATAATATATAAACAATGTAAGATCGTTGCCTTCATTCAACCGGCAAACATTTTGAATATGATGATTCAGTGGCATTTTTGTCTCTGACTACTAGAGTAAAAGCTGTAACATAAACTTTAATCATAAATTTTATTTATGTAGCTTTGACAATTTAAATTTCTGGAAATGCCTAATTTTTCACATTTATATGGCAGATTATTATAAAATATTACAAAAATAACGAAATTTCCGAATTTTTAAATATATTTAATTTATTTTTTAGTCCAATAGCTTATAAAATTTTATAATTTCTACATCAGTGTTAATTTCTCAATATAATAAATAAATATTTTTTAAATTAAATTAATTAACATAAAAATAAATAATTTATTTTTATGTTAATATAAGTAACAATATTTTAATTAATATTTGATAAAACACTAGAGGTCATTTTATTGATATAGCGATATTCATTAAAATTTATTGCACAAAATTTATAGCGTTCCACTTGAATTGACCGCAATGTAGTTTTTCTACGGTAGATAAGAAGTATTATATCTGCCCATATACAGAGAATATAAAAAGAACATTTAAAAGGTTTGCTCCCAAAATTGAGTGTTCTTTGATTTTGACATTCGTACCGAATAGAAGGGCTCCTATCTGGGTTTAACGCGAACGGACGTTTTACAGTTCTCTGTTTAATAGTTATCGAAAAATACCGCGAATCCTCTTGACTTTTGAATTGTATAAACAACAGACACAGATGTACTGTATATCTCTTCGATCATAGCGTTAGTACCACAAGAGACACGTGTGTAAAAACCACAAAAGACCGCCCCCCGCCCATATGGCGAGGAAACAACCGTGAGTGAATATTGCGAATCGAAGCCTATAAATAACGCAAGCGTGTGTAACAGAAATATTGGTAAGACTTTTTGATAAACTTTTTGATTTTGCTATTATCTGTAACCCTTTATTACCCCTCCTAATAATTTTGAACCAGTCATATTTAATACAGTTCTCATACTCTGCAATTATATAAATAAATAAATAAATACTTTATTTTTTTGCAAACACAATTTGTATAGAATTGGTCAGTTAATTAAATACAAGAATCAAGTAAACAAACATACAATGCGTAATATTAAAAATTGAAGAAATTCTTCAATTGAATAGAAAATGTGTGCAGTCAAAAATTTGACACAAAATTCACGTCAAAACTCACTAAAAAACTCACTAAAAAACACACTAAATTTTCACCTAAATTTACCATAAAAAATACAATAGAACTAGTTAATGAAATACAACATTTTCAATTACCTAACAACTCCGGATTAATTTCATTTGACGTAAAAAATCTTTTTCCTAGTATCAGAAACTTTTATTCTAGTAAAAAACCTTTTAGACCAAAATAGTACAAATCCAATAATTATATCTGAAATTTTACATCTTCTTGAAGTTTGCATAAACCAGGACTACTTTGAATTTAATAATAAAATATATACAAATAACAGTGCAGGACTTATAATGGGTAATCCTCTAAGCCCATTGCTATCAGATATTTTTTAGGATCATCTAGAGACAAAGATTTCAAAACATCCCGTATTCAAACAGTTTTTATATTGGTGGAGATACGTAGACGACGTACTGGTATGTTTCACAGGAACTAACAAGCAACTCGACCAATTTTTATCGTATATTAATTCACTTCATAGTCATATTGAATTTACAATAGAAACAGAACAAAATCAATCCATAAATTTTTTAGATTTAAAAATTAGCAGACTTCAAAACAAACATGACTTCTCCATATTTCATAAACCTACCCATACTGACACGACTATACACAATTCGTCATCCCATCCAACACAACATAAACTGGCAGCTTATCATAGTATGTTACATAGATTAACAGACATTCCGATGTCAAAATACAATTTTGAGACAGATAATTAAGCAAATAGCAATAAACGCCGGATACAACGAAGAAACAATTAATAAAATGTTAAATCAAAAACTACACAAGAAAGCCCTGAAATTAGTAATTCCACCACCAGACCCAGTACCTTCGGCTCAATTACAGATACAGGCAAAATAACAACAGAAATTGCTAAACACATAAAAAAGAAAGGAATAACACCAGCTTTCCGAACAAATAACAACCTAGGCAAATATATTAAAAATAACAAGAGCCAAAATAAAAAACACTTAAATAGTGGTGTGTACAAACTTCAATGTGGCGACTACCCAAAAACTTACATCGGTCAAACTGGTAGAAACTTTGATAAACGAATAGCAGAACATAAAAGGGCTTTCAAGAATAGAAAAACAGATTTGACATACGCACTTCACCTTCTAGATCATAATCATTATTTTAATGACCAATTTAAAATTCTTCACATTCAAAATAAAGGCCTTAAGCTATCTTTGTTAGAATCAATGGAAATCAACAAATTAAAAAACACAGATATAATTCTGAATGACCAACTTGAGACAAACAGTTCTCTCCTCCTCGACCTATTTCATTAGAGACTATAAATTTGTAAACCCAAGCCAAAAATAGATCACTTGAGAAAGGCAATCAGCCGAAACAGCTGTAGTGATAATATTTAAAATAAATTTTGTGGAAGTTTAAAAACAAAGTTTTCAGTGTTTTATTGTTACATAAAATGAATTTCTATTAAGTAACGGTCGAATCCATCAATTATTCCTTTAAATTTAGTATAAAGCTTATCAGGCTCTTGCAAAATTTTATATGTACGCTTTGGTAGTTTATTAAAAAGTCTTTGCAGCCCAGGCTGTGAGGGAAAAAGTGACTGAAGTTATAAAGGGCAACATCAGGAGCAATCCCCTAGTTCATTCAATAAAAAATGTTTGGTTATTGTTTATTTATGAGCGCTTATAGGTGCAAAATACGTATTTTTTGAGTTTTTTTCATGTTTGGCCTAAATTAAGTGTTGTAATGGGTAATTTTTGTATAGATTATGATAGTACTCTAAAAGACCTTCAATTTGAGCCGGTATACGTTCAATTTAATTTATTTGTTATTGCAAAAATGACGAATGATGCTCAAAATTAAAAAACGTAATATTTATTATAAAATTGCTTTTTTATTTATTTCAAATCTATGACATTCAAGCCTATAAAATTACGAAATGAATGAGCCGTAGTAGGCCTAGATCACTTAATTTGTTGCTGAGATACGTTAATTAGTTTATCCCACGACCTTCAACTTTGAATGCTCATTCATAGGATTGCCAAAAAAAAATGTTAGAGGGCTAGTTTTTGTTTCAGTCTCTTCCTAAAGCCGTAAATTTTCATATTCCACTGAAAAATGATGAAACAATTTTTTTTAACCCGTTAAAAACAATTATTTTGAAGTTGTAAAATTGCAGTTATAAACATTTAGCTGACTTCAAAATGAATATTTAAAACAAAAGAATTTTCTACGACCAATGGGAGCCGAGCATAATTTTTTTTTAATCACAGAGGCTTTATTAATAACAATTAAGAAACCGCATGTGGCAAACATTCCGGATGCCGTAAGCACGGCCTAAAATGTACGAGAATGCGCGAAAATTGTAATGGAGAGAGTTGCGAAAATTGTCATACTGCTGAATATGAACTAGATGACGCAGAAAAAGAATGTGAGAGTGAGATGGATGTTTTGGATAAATTATATACTTATATGACGTTTATTTTAATTTATTAAACCAATTTTTTAATTTTCCATGAAATTGTACTAAAAATCTAGTTTGACCATAAGTTCAAAATCAATTTTTTTGAGTTTTTTTTTTGGAAAATAGATTGTTTTTAAATAGAAATTTTAATCATTTGAACTTTACTTTAACAAGTCTTGAGATTTTTTTTTAGTTTTTGATTTAATAATTTGTTTAATTCAAATGTAGCGTACGAGTGAAGAAGAAGCCGGTCATCCAAAACAGTATTATTACAACATTAATTTCACCTATGTACACCTTTTTTGTACAACACCAACTGTTTAGATTATCGTGTAGTAAACTGGAAATATCCAAAATGGGTTTAGCTTTTTTAATAAGCAAGTCCAAATTTATGTTTTGTAATTGATTTATTAATTTTGTAATTTATTTTACATATTTTGATAATTATTTATTTTTTCTTTCTGGAGTATATGCGATTCTCTATGTTTTTTCTTAAATATGTTTAAAACTAATGTCAATTCAAAATAGTATAAATAAAGCTTTTAAAACTAGTTTTTTCATTAGAAATTCAATTGTTTGTTATGTACTAATAATTTTTTATTTTTAATTGTAGATATTTAGAAAAGTTAATGTGGACGATTACTCAGTATGCTTATCTACCGACACGGCCGAATGTTATTATGCACACTGATAGCAGTACTGCTACTAACAGCTAGCATGATGCTAGTTATTTTCAGCAATACCAACTCTTATTTAATTAAAAAATTTGAGTCCCTATGTACGCTTAATTCGTTTGTAAAAACAGCGGAACTGTTAGAAACTACTATTAAAATTACATCTACAACTACAGCACGTCCAAAGACTCCTATTCATTGTTATCGAGAAAACGAAGAATCTCTGCCTAATATTTTAAACTTCAATCCAAGACCAGGCAAGTCTATATTCTTCCATGAGACATCATGCAGCTCATTTGAGCACGGCAAAATAGTCATTAATTCACGACAGGCGTGCGCTGTGGAAAGTGCTGCTAAAATGAATCCAGATTTTGATGTATATTTACTGTATGCTTCGCCAGGGATATTTAAATTTGAAGGAAATGAATCAGATTATTTTTTAAGAAGTTTATTAAGCTATAAAAATGTGCATATTCTACATTTGAATTATGGAAACTACGTTAAAGGTACGCCAGTCGAGGCATTGTGGACTTCCGGAAAGATTGAGAAATCTTCATATGTCGTGTCACATGCAAGTGACGTACTGAGGTAAGACATTACTTTCTTATTTATTTTTTACGATGAAAGCATAAACTTTTATGATATAAAAGGTTGCTCTAATAATTATGTCCTGACTCAATCCAGTTCCCGTCCCAAACGGTAATGGACTGTCGGAGTGATGACGTTGATTTTATTGACATCTGTCAGTTTCACTTTCCAAACAAACCTTGTTTAGTGTGGATAATTTGTATTTTTCGTTATTTTTTCATTTTTTTACAGAATCTTTCCGCGTTATATAAATAAAATAGCAATAAAATGCATGTATCAATAAAGTAAGGTTAGAATTTCTTTAATTTAAAATTTTAAACTATATTTCATACAAATAGAGCATTGAATTATAATGGTATTATCGTAAAAAACTATCTAAAGAAAAGCAGCATGGCAACCAGGCGGCAAATAAAAAAAAAACTAATTATAAAAATTATAAAAACATAAATATATGATTAAGTTGTACTAGTTACAGAAAGATTAAATTTAGGAAAAGAAATTGTAATTGCCTCTATACTAAATTTCAATAAGCGATGCAAAGCGTGTAAATAACGATAAAATTTTATTTTAATTGTTAAAAATGTTCAAAATGTATCTCCTCGTTCCGATAGTAACAGTATATTATTAAAATCACCTTATCACTTTTTCTCTTTTCTCGATTATTAGTTTTTATTGCATAGTATACAGATAACGACATTGTTTTGTTGACCATAGGAATTGGGATTTATTGCAACCCCATCTCTAGGGTATGTTTATTATAATGCTCTAAAACTAATTTTTTGGTTATTTTTTAGCCTTAATAGCAATACAAATAAATAAGTAAGTAAATAAGTAATATGCTTTATTGTCACTGAAAAATGTACAAATTTTATGGACAAAGCTTAACAATAAGACAAGAAAGAAGAAAAAAAATCAGAATAAGAATCGTTTTTACTTTTAAATAAAAAAAAACAATAAAATTCTTCCAAACTTAAACATAAAAATACTACCTAATTAAGAACCTATAAAACTTCATAAAATGTACCTTTCAACAAAAAATAAAAATTAGGAAAGCAGATTAATAAATTAAGGGCTCAAATATTCCACTTCCTTGTGCTAAACAGTTACCAAATCTGTCATACAGATTTCTCCTCATATTTTGGAGTAGGGCTGGTGTAATGCTTGCAGAGAAATGAAAGTATTTTTGCCCTTAATTCGACTAGGTTTGTGGCTCTTTCAAACTGATGGCTATAAATGTTTTCTTTGAGGAAACCCCAAAAAAGAAATTATTAGGCGCTAAGTCACAGGATATAGCGGACCATTTAATTATACCACGTGTACTTATCAGTCAATCAGGAAACGTTTGATTGAGAAAATCAATAGTTGCTCCAGAGTTGTGAGCCGAACACCCATCCTGTTGAAAATAAACCTCCTGAAAATGAACGGGAAGGCGTCGAACTGCCGGAATGATCTCATGCTGTAAAAGTTTTAACTATTTGGGCCTGTTAGGTTTCCATCGATAAAAAATGGACCGAAAATATGGTCGCCTAACATCCCAGTCCAAGCATTTAACTTTTGCGGATGCTGCGTTCGCACTGCAACACAGAGGAGCTTATTTTTTCCGAGAATAATCTCTTGCAACGGATGTATTGTGTTTTTTATGTAATGAAAATGAGGATTCGTCAGAAAATAAAATATTTTTTTAAAAGTGTACATTTTCAATCTGTTTATCTAACATAAATTCACAAAACTCCATTCGCCTAAAGTTATCTTTCGGAAACAGTTCTTGTGTTGGTTGTATCTTAAAACAGTGATACCCATTCCTTTTGAGAACTCGCTGGACAGTTCGAGCATTCACGTTAACTTCCCTAGCAATTTGTACACTAGGGTTCACTAGCTTCCACAAAAGCACAAATATCAATATCCCTGTTTTGACGCTCCTCATCGGGACGTGGTTCATTACCTTCATGACACTTTTTACAACTGTTTACATATCCCGAAGTTTGAAAATGTTTAATGGTATTTTTAACTGTTGTCACACTTGATGGAGGTCTATTTTCGAAGCCAACAATAAATAAATCAATTACTTCGCGTAACGAATGACACTGAAAGTACCATGTTACAAGTTGCACTTTTTCTTGGACGGTATACAACGTAACATGATACTATGACCATAAGATAAGATATTGCGCATGTTTTTGTGACGTCATTGGAGAGTTAGACGTTCGAAATGTCAATTTTTTTTATGTGTCAATAAATAATCTTTAATAAATAGATTGGAAATATCCTTATGTGTACGATTATTGTAATTATTAAACCTCTTAACTTATTTTCGTCTAGTAATTTCAACACAGAATGCATACAAATCCCATTTAACTTTAACAAGATTTCAAATTCTACTCTCCAATGACGGCATGCGCGAACCCGACCGATTTTGAGCTACGGGAAGATCCTATCTTTTTATTCATAGTATCATGCAACGTAATAGGCATTTTATTAATTATTTGTTTATTCCTTCAGAACTTCATTTGAAATTTTTAATGTCAATGTGACAAAGGACCACAGGAGTGATGACGTAGTTTTATTGACATCTGTCAGTTTCACTTTCCAAACAAACCTTGTTTAGTGTGGATAATTTGTATTTTTCGTTATTTTTTCATTTATTTTATAGAATCTTTCCGCTTTTTGCAATATTTAAGTATTCTAATAGTTACAACAATTTTACAAGGTTGTGTAAATAATAAAGCACATTGTTTTACGCAATAAAATGCATGTATCAATAAAGTAAGGTTAGAATTTCTCAATTTCAGAACTTTTAAACTATATTTCATAGAAATAGAACTCTGAATTATGATGGTATTATCGTAAAAAACACTATACTTACAAGAAAAAGCAGCAGAGGAAGCAAAATGTTAACTTTATAAAAATTAAAAAGTCTTGAGATTTGACATTTCAATGTTTGTTTGGAAAGTAATAATGACAATGTGACAGTCGTGACGTCACACTCCTGCGGTCCATTACGGCAATTCGCACCTACTGTGAAATGAATGTAGAGATGGAAACGTGTAACATGTCACAGCGATTGCCATTGCGTTATATGGTGAATAAAACTATGTCGTGATCTGTATAAATACAAATACAAATACATAATAATTAAATTAATTACTAATTTTTTAAACGGTTATTCAAGTACCGATTGTCCAAGAATATTCAAAAACTAAACGAAATAACCAATAACCATCTCTATTTTGCTGGAAAATTGCTACTCGACGTCGTCGGAAACTGATACATGTTCGGACCAGATTTTCTATCTTGCTATTGAAGTGTATTTTAAATGGATTTTTTGTCGTTTTTATGGTAAAAAGACAATTTATGTTTATGCTGTTAATATTGAACTAGTAATAATTATTTGTTGTGCGTTTTAGAACTACTTAAGTATTTATTCTTATCTGTATAACGACTTTAAACTGTATATGTGATTACACTGATTACTGTTGTTGAAAACAAAAATGTTGTCCACTGATTATGCAGATAAATTAGTAAAATATACATGGAGTCCTCCTCGAAAACGAACAACAAGAAGTTTTCTTAGTGCTAAAGTAAAAGAAATGATTTGAATTGTATTTAAATAAACGATAGAAAATCCTAAGTTAGTGGTTAGAAATATCGTAAAAAAAGTGGCAAGTAAAGTTAGAGTTTGTGATCGAAGTGTATTTACGGTGATTAAGGAATTTTTTCATGAGAAATAAAATACTCACCGTGGATGGTGTTTTAAATGAGGTGAACGATGATTCTGATTTGCCAAATTTGACGAAAACCACATTTTATAGAATAGTAAAAAAAATTAATTTTCAAAATCAACACAAGGAAAGAAATGCTCTTTTTATTATTCAGAAACGACATTGTGGTGTGAAGACGGATATACTCACGATAAGGACTTATAGAGAGAGCGCAATTTGGACATTCCTTTTGGACATTTCCTTTCTTTGGTGACGATAGGTGTTTAAATCTAAACTAAGATAAAGCTTTAAATTATTTTGCTTATTAAATCGTATTTTACAATTTCTTTAACCAATATTTTTGGCCATTTTGGGAAAAAATGACACATTTTATTAATTATATTTCCGTCGATCGTCCATTTATGATCAATTTTAATACCTCAAAATCATTGATTAATGGCCCTATTAATGAATGATTTTCTATTAATGAACGATTGCATTATAGGCAACACAACATACTCTCTCTCTTCAATCCTGACCCCCCGGGGGAGTGTAGTGGTCGACGTGATGTCGTGTATTGTCCGTTTCCAGAGATCTCTGTCTCTGGTCATTTCTTTTAATTCATGCATAGGTCTTTGGCATATTCCTGTAATTTGAAACACAACATACACAACATACATTGCTTGCATAAATTAATTAAACGCTCTGTGATTGGCAGTGACCTGTGGTGTAGGCATCGAGCAAAGAGACAAAAGAGGGAATGTAAAGGTAGTGGGGGCAAACATATTGTTAGACAGGAAGTGCGATCTTTAGAGGCCACATTAAACAAGGAAAGAGAGTCTCTCCATGTTTGACATCAAATTTAGTTGGGTTATGTTATTGTTTGTCCCAAATGTCACATGAAATCTTATTTATATTGAAGTTTTTTAACAATTGTGTCGCATTTTAGACTCTTATCATTAATAATTAATTAAAACTTTCTCGTCTAAGACACATTCTGAAAAATATTATATAGCTACTGTTGATAAGTGTCGGAAAATTTAAATTTGGCGCATTCGCATTTCCGGATATGTCCGCCATCAGAGGCCACTTTTTTGGTCTCCTTTTCATAATGATTAGATTCCCTCTTTTGTCTTATTGCTCGATGGGTGTATTTTAAGAGCTGAGAAAATAACAAAAAATGTTTTTTCAGGTATCTAACACTTTGGAAATATGGTGGTATTTATTTAGATTTGGATGTAGTAGTGATAAAATCCTTACAGGATCTACCGTTAAATTATGCAGGTATACAGAGTCGGAACGAAGTAGCAGCAGGTGTTGTTAGCTTTGAATCAGATGGTTTCGGACATAGTTTGGCTGACAAGTGCGTGAATAAACTAAAAAATGACTTCAGTGGTGTATATTGGGGACATAATGGACCAGATATAATTTCTTCGTAAGTAGAAAAATTTATTTGTGTAGTAATTTTAAATTTAAATACGTATTTTAGATAATGTGTTTTGTCCTGTTAAGTTGTATTTTTTTTCTTTGGAAGCTTTCGGTATATCCTACTAAAACCACATAATCATCATCATCAGGGCTTTTCATAATTTCGGGTGGAATCTTTGCTGCTCTTACTTAGAGCTCTCTGTTTCGCTTATTGTGGTGAACCACTCCGCATTCCACTTTTATGTTGTCAAAGTTTGTTGTAAGACTTGACTTTCGTTACAATTTGCTTCCACTCATTTCGATATGTGCATAGTTCCCTCCAATTTCTCACTTTCAGAGTTTTGATATCTCTCATGACCTGATCCTCCATTCTCTCTCTGGATCTTCCCCTTGGTCTTTTAGTTGCTGGTTTCCCTCTGGTGATGAAATCTAACTATTTCTTCTCCCTTTATTATGTCTCCTAGTTCATGGTTTATTTTTCTTCTCATTTCTCCATTATCCATTCTTATCGGGCCCATAATCTGTTTGAGGATTTTCCTTTCGAAAATTCTCAATTTTTCTTCATTTTTTTTTTTGTGAGGCACATTGTCTGCGTACTGCGTACCTGCGTACGTAACTACTGGTCTGATTTCAACTCTATATATTTTCAGTTTTGTATTTCTGGATAAGTTCTGGTCCTTCATAAGCCTATAATATCTCCAGTATGTTTTGTTGTCTGCTAGTTTTCATTTCGTTACTTCTTCACTTGTCTTGTTTTGGGCATTTACTATTACTCCCAAATATTAAAATTCTTAGACTCTTTCAAAAGTGTAGTTTTCTATTTTAATTTCCCTCGTCCTGTTATCTTCTCTTCTAAAGCAGAGTAGATATTTTGTTTTTCCTTCGGTAATTTCTAGACCTCTTTTCCGTGCTTCTTTTGCCAGGATTGTTACTGCTTCTTTTAATCTTTCCTTATCTCTTCCCATAAGAATTAAAATATCTGCATATGCAACTATTTGTGTTGAGGAGTGGGCTATAGTTTCTTTAATTTTGCTGGCCTTGATTGTTCCTTCTACTGCTATGTTAAATAATGTGGTTGACAGAGAAACGCCTTGTCGCACTCCTGTTTCTATTACAATTGATTTTGTGCTACCTTCTTCTGTTATTACTTTAGCTCGAGCTCCACCATGGTCATTTTTGTTAATCTGATTAATTTTGCTGGTATATCTTGATTTTTCATTTCAATAAATAATTTATTTCTTCCAATACAGTCAAAGGCTTGTCTGAAGTCTACGAAGAGGATGTGGAGCTCTATGTTGTGTTCGTGGCATTTTTCGATTGTTTGTGTAACTATGTGGATCGCATCTGTAGTGGATCTACCTTCTCTGAATGCTTGTTGGTAGTCCCAATTTTTTTTTGTAAATTGGGTAAGTTTTTGTTTGATAAGGGCTGTTAGAATTTTATATGTTGTGCTCAGTAGAGATATTGCTCTATAGTTACATTCTATTACAGTCTATTACAGTTTATTATACAGAAGATGGATTACATATTTGCGTCTTACTTTGCCAAACGCTTTCTTTAGGTCAATCAGACACATAAATTCTGATTTATTATACTTTAGTGATTTCTCAGTAATTTGATTTATAACGAATATTGCATCTGTACACGATCTTCCACTATGAAAACCGTCTTGTTCATCTGCTAAACCTATCCTCTGATTTATTAGTACTTGTAAAATTTTAGTTGTAAATTTTAGCGTGTAATTTAACAAGTTTATACCTCTGTAGTTTTCTGGCTATTTTTTTTCTTCTTTTCAGTTTTGTTTTGGACTCAAGAAAGTGTAGCTTGAAAAATTCTATTAGGATATCTTCAACTTTATGACTGTATTCACTTGACTCCTTTTATATGAAGGAATACTTATCTGAGATTTTTTGGGGAAAACTTACTTTATTGAACCTTGACATTTCTGCAGTCTGCTCTTCTCACAAAACCTTATTTACGTTTCTTTTTTTTTGTCCTTTTCAGTTGCTAATTATATTCAGTCAAAGTTTTGCTCAAATCGCCACACTCACCTGATCTTTTGGCAAAAATTAAATTTCGACATTTTGCAATGTTCCCATTCCATCAAGATACTTTCTTGTTGAGATTCCTTACTATCTCCGTTGTATAGTTGTCTTCCAGTGTATGCGTTATCGTCCCTTAACAGACCTAAATAATATTCCAGGTCTGCTTGTTATACTTTCCAGTTTGTTGTTGACATATGACAGACACCTCATCTGTCATATGCCATTTTTAACAATTCTAGCCACGTGATTCGTAGCAACTCTTAGGTCAATTTCCTCCTTTCTTTGTGAATTTTCACGAAACATTTTGCATAGTCATTATAATAATATTACATATAAGTTACTATTAACTTATCTAATTAAATAATTATCCATTGCGAATAAACCATTTATTATAATCGTCTTATCATTAGTTTAACTTTAAATAATTGTGTTCTATGGTAGCTATGAGCAAGGAAGATACTTATAATGAATGATTCTTTAATTTTTAGCAATCAAAACTGATGATAATTTTTTTATTATCGTACATTACGAAATTTCCTACAACAAATTGAAAAAATTACTCGGTAAAGTGCAACTTTGTCACCTTATCGAACAATTCTTTGAAAGAATAAAAATTATTGAGATTACCACGAAATAGTATTAAGTAACGTAAAAAAAGATAACGACAGCTTACCCAAGACTGAATGAAAAAAATTATCAACCTTAAATGCGTATTTTTGACCTCGGTTTCATATATGCATTCAAGTTAGAATAGATATTGTCGATGCAATTGCATACCCACGAATGTGCAAAATGGGCGTTAGCAGATATACGACGTTTAAACTTTCAATTAGTGGCTAAATTTAGTTTGACTTTATTACGTTATTAGTAAATATTATCAGGGATTTAAAAAAATATCCATCAATTTTCGAAAAAAAGTTACATTCGTGATTGTGGCATTGTAGATTTTGTAATAAAATCCATATTCGTGAAATTATATTAACTTTTATTATGGTAAAAGTGAAACAAAAAGAACTTTTTAATATTGAAAACTACAAAAATAAAAATAATAACATATAAAAACACTTAATCATATTTTAGAATAATTTAGTTTTCTCTAATATTTGTATTTGCAAATTGTCTCTTATATTTTTATCAGCAGTTACAGAATTATAAAAGTTATGATAGTTGTTTGGATTTAATCATTACACATTATCTGCAGATCTTTAAATTTAGCAATCGCAATTGGCAACTGCTTGTCATAAGCTTTGTTTAAATCAATCAATTTTTGGGTCGCTTATGACTTTTCATGCTGTTTACTTGTTGAAATTCACCTCCAAATTTTTTTTATAGGCATTGTCACTACGACATCGGTTTTAATGTACATATCTTAACCAGCTAATTTATTGCCAGGGAATTTTGTTCACTTTATAGTTCTGTATTCCAAAGGATTTGAAATTAAAGACGTTATCAAACATTATGAATCTGACAAAAGTACATAGATGTGTTTGAACATTTCTTATCATCTGAGCCGATTATCTGGTGAATACCCAGGAACATATTTTAATTTCTGTTCGATTTTCGAGTGAAGTAAATCACACTCTATCTCGGTATGTTCTGATTTAAAAAACTTAGTTTTTTATTAAAAAAAAATAGTTTGTTTAAGTTAGTGTAATCCGTAAAAAATTTCAAGCACATAGCAGCAAAACGTAAATTTTGTTGTTACCCGCCACTCCCGTCCGACATCATTTGAACTTTAGTAATGTTTGGTTAATTAATAATATAATTGTAAATATACGTGGACATCTTGTTTGATCCCACTTTTCCTTGAGTTTCGTCTCAAAGGTAACAGATTCCGTCCTGATTCCTTAAGTTGTAGACAGTCAAGTTGTAAATAGCCAATTTTCGTAGGTAAAATATTTGTCCTATTTGACTCTTCTTGTCCTGATATTATCTCTAAATTATTCTTTGCAATTTTTTGTCTTCGTCTCGAACCTCACGAGTTTTTGGTTTTATGGAACCCCAAATTATAAATTTCCAACACTCGTTGATACTTTTCGAAAGAAACTAGATGAGCATTTAATTCTCAGCCCTTTGATTTGTACAATTTGTGCATAATAGAAACGTTTAGTGGTGAATACCAAAATTTCTTTTGGTACTAGAGGCCCTACAATAATGAGACTCCACGGCTGGAGATGAAATAATATGCTCACGAATCGGCAGTTTATCATCATCTTTCAATTTATTATGTGGTACATGTTTTCCAAAATATGCTGGCGTTCACATTTACACACGAAACTGAGAATGTTTAATTAACACAAGACAACGACTGTAAAACAAACGCAAAATCCACACCGCCACAAACACTAAAGTGTCACTTTCGCGATGCACGCATTGCAAATGAACAATACAGACTGATGTTCGTGAAAGTGCATATCTCCTCCCTACCATCTAGCCTTTATTCACATTCGTGGTTGTGTCTCACAGTATAGGAATGACTGAGACATTATTAGTGGTGTAATTACGTGAAAAACGAAAATTTTGCACATTCGTGAGTGTGGCATTGCACCGACGATATAACTAACTTGAAATATGTTAGGATTTGGTTATGGACTATAAAATAACGAATATTTCTTTTTTTTTCTTCCTCTTTATAAGCAATTCTGCTTCTTCATTGGTGGATTAATACCTCTATGGAAAGTTGTCTTCGTCTAAGAAAGGTTTATCTTTTGCGCGGTCATCCGACACTTCTGCCGATTGGTGAATTATCTCTTGCTATTTTTGACAACACGAATTATGTGGTTATTCCATTCTTTTTTTCTATTTTGTGTCCATTCATTTATACACTGTTCGTTACATTTTCATCTAATGTCTTCACTTCTTTTTCGATCTCTCAACGTATTTCCTGTAATTATTTTCAGTAATCTCATCTCTGCCGTTTCCAGTAGCCTTTGTGTTGAGCTGTGGGTCTTATTCCTGAGACATATGTCATTAGTGGTCTTACACTGACCTTATAAATTCTTGACTTCATCTCAGTGTTAACGTGTCTGTTTTGCCATATAGCGTTATTAAGACATCCTGCCAGTCTATTTGTACTTGATTCTCAGTAATTCCCAGGTATTTTATTTCCATTACTTCTTCAATACTGATCAATTTCTATTTTACATCTGGTTGGTTCTTTGATGACTACTATTGTTTTAGTTTTCTGAGATGAGCTTGTCATATTAAATTATTTTGCTCTTATGTTAAATCTGTGGAACAGTCTTTGCAGACTATCTTCATCTTGGGCTAGCAATATCTCCTCGTCTGCGTAACAGAGTATTTGTATTTCTTTGTTTCTCATTCTGTATTCTCTTCCTTTGTTAACACTTTTGATGATTTCATTCATGATCAAATTGAAGAGCATGGGGCTTAATGAATCCCTTTGTCTTATTCCTATGCCTTATGCCTATTTCTATATGTTCTGTAAGTTATCAATCTATTTTGACTTCCATTTTGTTGTTTTGGTAGATGTTTTCGATAGTTTTTACAATATTTAGAGAAACTTCTCTATTATACATAAGAATGGATTTCACCTTTGAGTCTTACTCTGTCAAACGCTTTCTTTAGGTCAATCAGACACAGAAGTTCTGGTCTATTATACTTTAGTACTTTGTAATCCTGCTAGTCAATCCTCCTGGTAGTGAATCCACCTATCCTTTCCTATGTGTTTTGATACTATTAGTTTCTTTACCTCCGTTCTTTGACCTCTGACGTGCCCATATTTCCTATTGCAGACCGTAAAAATCATGTTCCATTTCTTTCGAAAAGCGTTCCCAGTAATCACTTTTTATTTTTCTTACAACTGCATGTGTTTCGTTTCTAATTGATTTCTAATTATGGTATTCCTCTTGTGTTTTGGTTGACATGTATTTCAGGTAATATTTTTTCTTTTCTTTACATTTTTCGTTCACTTCTGTACAAAACCATGGAGTTCTTCGCCTTGAACCGATTTATTTCTATTTACATTTCTTTCACCAAGTTTCCTAATAATATTTCTTATTAGTTTATAAATTTATTTGACGCTCGAAAAAAAATTCGACGATTTTTAGAGAACTGAATTGAAAAAAAAACTAATCTACCTTTTGAAACAATTTTGAAAGTTAATCGCACGTATGAAAGCTGAGGAATACTTAGAAAAGCCCCCATCGAAAGCCTATGTTGCAATCGTCTTTCACGAAAATTATATAACTCCGGTTCTTAAAATCACATCAAAGTTAACCCGTTAAGCAATTTTTTTACTCAACCGTTCCCTCTGGTCCTAGAGTGTTTAACGACGTTTGTGTCCGCCGTTCTACTAATGTAATTGCTGAATTGTTTTCTTTTTTCTATTTAGTGTCCACTGGTTTATGTCCACTAGTTTATATACATAATTAAGAAAGCGAAAGAACAATGGTTAAAAAACAATGCACAGAAATAGAAGAATACCAGAAAAGACATGATAGTTTTAACACACATAAAAAAATTAAAGAATTAACTCACAAAAATAGAATAAAAAAACCGGGAATACTGAAAGATGCAAATGGGAAAAGTGTGTTGAATACTAACGACAAATTAAAGATATGGACAGAATGAATCAATGAACTGTTCAAAGACAATAGATTAGAACAGATGGAGATAGAAGTAGAAGAAGATATGGTTTTAAAGATATTAAAAGAGGAAATTAAAATGGCATTAAAAAACAGCAAAAATGGTAAAGCATTAGGTCCAGATCAAATCCCTATAGAAATCTTAAAATGCATGAATGATGTAACCTTAGACATTATAGTAGACTTATTTAACTCAGTATACAAAACAGTACACATACCGAAACAATGGTTACACTCCACCTTTTGTGCTATCCCTAAAAATACAAACGCTAAATATTGCAGTAAATACAGAACAATATCACTAATAAGTCACATTCTCAAATTTTTCCTGAAAATAATACATGATCGTATAAATAAAAAAACTGGAAGAAGGAATAGATGATAGTCAGTTTGGGTTCAGAAACGGACTAGGAACCAGAGAAGCGTTATTTGCTTTTAATGTGTTAGCTAAAAGGTGCATGGATATGAATTTTGATGTGCATGTTTGTTACGTTGATTTTGAAAAAGCATTTGACAAGGTAAGACATGAAAAATTAGTCCAAATTCTAAAGACAAAAAACATAGACCATAGGGACTTACGAACACTAATAAACCTATACTGGAATTAAAGAGCACAAATCGTAATAGATACCGAACCCAGTCCAGAAATTGAAATCAGGAGAGGAGTTAGGCAGGGATTTATTAGGTCCCCATTACTATTTAATGTGTATAGTGAAGCCATTTTTGAAGAAGCATTACTATCTCAAAGTGAAGAAATATTAATTAACGGAAGATCTATTAACAACATAAGATATGCCGATGACATCGTGATTATGGCAAGCTCTGCTGAACAACTCCAATTACTGCAAAACAAAATACCGACAAACAAACATTTGGGAAATGTATCGATAGAAAGGGTTGATAAATACAAATACCTAGGAACCTGGATTTCAGACAATAATGATCAAACAACCGAAATAAGAACCTGGATAGAAATAGCAAGAAATGAGTTTGTAAAAATGAAATCAATTCTCTGCAACAAAAACCTTAGATTAGAACTGAGAGTAAAAGCACTGAGATGCTACGGGTTTTTGATACTGCAATATGAACTTAAAAGCTGGAGATTGAAGCAAGAACAGATAAATAAGTTACAGTCCTTTGAAATGTGGTGTTACAGGAGGATGCTCAGAATAGCATAGACACAGAAGAAAACTAACACGGAAGGATTTCGAGAAATGGGCAAAGAATGCGAAATAATAAAGACAATAAAAATAAGAAAGTTACAATATCTGGGACACGTAATGAAGGGACAGCGATATGAACTGCTAAGGCTGATAATACAGGGAAAGATAGAGGAGGAAGGAGTATAGGAAGAAGAGAGATCATGGTTGAAGGATTTAAGGGACTGGTTTAAATACAGTTCTATAGAACTCTTCAGAGCAGCAGTAGATAAGTAAAGATAGTGATGATGATATCCAACCTCCGATTGGGAGATGGCACTTAAAGAAGAAGTAGGTTTATATCGTTTATGTACATTATGTGATATCCGCTCGTGAATGACTGTTTGGTTATACCTTATTCGAATCTGTCATATGTATCTGCAGGAACATTTTCTATCAGCCATTGGCTCTACTTGTCATAGTTAGGGCCGGTAACGGTCTCAACTTATCATATAGCTCTCACACTTTATCCCATTTTTTCAATTGTTCTTTTAAGTTTTTATCCATTTTCCTTCAATATTATATTTTTTTATTATTGACCAGAAATATTAAAATGAAAACCTTAGTGCAACAGCACACAAAGTAAATGATTGACTTGTGAATTGAAATGCGAAACTGCAATAAAAGCGTTATTTATTTTAAAACTCTTCTTTCCCAACGACATTTTTATTAAAAAGAAATTAAAATCTTACGTTTTTCTGTTTTAGAGTAATGAAAGAAAGCTGTAACGTCACAATAGCATCCGACATGTTAAAGAAAAATTGTACTGGACTGAAATTGTATCCAATCGAGACATTTTACCCCATATCTTACCCACAATGGCAGAAATATTTTAAGGAAGAGTATTTGAAAGAAGTTATTAAATCCACAAAAAATACTTACGTAGTGCATACGTGGAACAAGTTAAGTGAAAAATGGCAAATACCAATTAATACAAACCCAGCCTATTTGCATTTTGCTAAATTGCATTGTCCGAAGGTCGTTGAGGCTTGCAAGACACATTTTTAAATGGTGTTAATATGCTGGTGTATGAAGTATTCCTGAGATTTTATCATATGCGAATCTGGATCAGACGCGATCTTGGTGCTCTAATTTATTATTTCTAATTTATTTATTACTGTCTTAAGAATGATGATGAATATTTTAATCTTATAATTTTTTTCTTAAGTCTATATTTGGCGTATTAAATTCGGATCAGTCAACCTGACCTGATCAGTTAAAACCTGATGCTATCCTATCTAAGGATGTTGTTTTATTTTAATCCTACCTTATGCCCAGAACATCGGAAGAGCCATCAGTTGACAAGTTTTTTTCTGGAATCTGTGTATTCAAAATATTTTCTTTGGAATTCTGGAGCCTTGTAGCAGCTTGTATAGGTTTATTGTCTATTGAGTTTTAAGGTGGTCTCCAAAAAGTTTTTGATGCTTGCGGTCTACTATTGTGCTGTCATGCAAAATATGGTTGTCTGTTTCAAGTTGTCTACCCACTTCATGAAATAACGTCATTGTATACTTTTTTTTAGTGCCTCTTGACTAAAGCATGTCCAGTAAGGAAGCCTACTAATGATTCTTTTCGTCAATTTTTTTTATTAGTCGCGAATAGCGTTTTGGCACTCCGAAAGCCAGCTCTGAACAGATGTTTTGTACTGATCCTCTTCTAGCAAGCTCATCTCTCACGCTCTAATTGCCGTGCATTTCTCAATAGCCTGGAATCCATACCAATATAACAGTATTACGTTCCATCAGCTATCTATTGTTTCTCGGCATTTCCACACTAGTCCAAACACTACTTTAGGGTTCCTGAGAGCTCCCATAGCCGCTTGAATATCTTAAGTAATAAATTCAAAAGCTTCTATGAAAATTTATCTGACACATTCAAATGTGACTGGAATGCAGAGATATATTCTCTTAGTGGTACAAAAATGTTTCCATCACTACTGTTAATTCCTGTATCTGACATTTCTGTAGCTTTAGATCTATATCTAGGTGCCATATGGTCAGATGTCATCATCCATACAGTGTCTCCAATTTCATTTATGATGTTACTATGGCCTGATCCGTCCATTACGGTCCTCATATTTTCTCGCAGTCCATAATATCTTATTTCCGTATCCTTCCTTGTAACGGTATGCAGGAAAAGGAAGTACTTTAGGACCTCCAACATGGCTGCGATTGGACCCAAGTAACTCCAAGAAAAGCAAGATTTTTTATCTTACCTAACTTGGAAATAGCAGGTTTATGCAACTCTGGCAACTGTACCACTGATACATACACTATTTTTGGTTTTACCACCATTTTTTAAATTCAATATGACACGTGTAGTTTTAAACCTTAAATTGCTCAATGACTACCAATAAAGTAGTAACCTTCCTCTTATATAGTCATTGTATCATTTCGTTTTAGAGGACTTAATCCCCTTACTCTTCCTGATAGATTTAATGATTGGAAACTTCTGAAGGCTTATTTTGGGCCCCACATATGAAGTCCACTCTATAACTACACTTGAAGCCTCCTGCAGTATTTTTCTGAGTGTATTATTTTATTTGCCGTGAGGTAAAATTACAGGTTGTCCGGACATGTCGTTGTTGAGCTCTAGTCAAGACAGGAGACACTGGATATACCAGTTACACTCCGTATATCACATAATTCTTCAGTATGCGGTCGATCCAGCTGCAGTTACTATGTCTATTCCTTTTCATAGAATTATCCTTACGATTACTTAGTGAAAGGTTTTGTCGAATGCTTCCTCTATATTGCACTTATTTTTCACCCTCTGTACGGAAGGATGTACTTGCAGTTTCGTAGAAAATACTTTGGCTGCATGTTATGGCTAGGGTATCGCACTTTCAACCGATACACCTTCCTTAATGACCCTATCGAGTATTTTTATAAAGTCTTTAGTACAAATGACATCAGTTAGCAGTCTCAGAAACTTTTTCCTGTCTAGTTTTACCAGATTTAGGTTTAGGTTGACAAGTGTACAAATAAATATTTCAACGACTCAGTAACATAGAGATAAATGTTTCGTTTTCTTAGTTTTAAAACGTAAAATCCATTTGGAATATCTCGAATCTGCGAATTTAATTTATTAAACGTTGCTTTGTTGCTTTCTATTTTGGTTTGTATCAAAAGTGCCTGGTACCTTACAGAATCTTTCGAATCCGCTCATAAGATGTGATATTTCAAATAATGATTTCGAACGATTTGCGTTATCTACAACTTTTCATTTTCAAAAATTTGTCTTACAATTTGAATAACGGTTGAACCTTATCATCGTCTTCCTATGTTAGAATCACATCGCAACAGCATGTTAAACCGATTTAGTTCCAATTGTCTACCATTTTACAGCCATCAAAGTAAGCACTCATTTATTAATAGAAATTAAGCTTTTTGTTCTTATGACTTGCAAATAATAAATGATACCTATTGTAAAATGGTTGTTATTGGTATTTTCTGACAATGTTTTCAATGCTCTGGATGACGATAAATTTCAATTCATTCAGTTAATGTACCAGAATGGTTAGATAACTAAACTTCACGTCTTCTGCCACTATAAACACGTATGCAGAGAGAGACCAATACAGGCCACCAGTTAAAGATGTGGAACTTCATCACGAGAACCGAGCTAGATGAGGAGATTTAACGATAAAGGGAGGTACAATAGATCTGCAAAGGATGTATTATATATATATATATATATAAATATATATATATATATATATATATATATATATGTATGTATGTATAATGCGAATTAATAAAAAATACAGTTTTATGTCCTTTTAGTTTTTTTTATCAAATGATATTGTTAATGTATAAAAATTATAAATACTACCAATTCAAATGACAACAGCTCTTACTCATATAGTAATTTCGATCATCTTGTGTACTTTGGTATTAAACCATCGCACCGTGGCTCCACCGACCTAGTGATTTCCGGAATAAGCTAATTGACCAACAGCTGCGAATGAAATAGTTGATAAGTTATAGTGATTAGTTAAAATACATTTATAATATTACATTACATAATATATTAGCAATTAACTATTACCAATTAACAATTAAAAAAGAAAGAATCCGGACTGTCTAACCTACGACAAACTCGAAATAAGGGTAATGATTTAAAAATTTGCACGTGGAACGTAAGAAGCCTTTATCAGCCTGGAGCCACGGCTCTGCTCATTCAAGAAATGAATAAAGCCAAAGCAGATATCATTGCTTTGCAAGATAGATAGATAGATAGATAGATAGATAGATAGATAGATACATAGATAGATAGATAGATAGATGGTTTATTGGTAATAAATTAATACATAAGTATTTTTTACAAGTCAAATAAAATAAAGTAAATGTCAATATAGTTAATATGCACACATAAATATAAACACAAAACATAGATACATTATTTTAAATTATACTGTTAACAATTACAACAAATTAAAATTGGAAGTAAAATACTCCTCATATGTAAAAAAAAGCATTCACTATAAGGTAACCCTTAATTTTTGCCTTAAACTGATGAAAATTAAGAGCCTTTATTCTAGCTGGCACTAAGTTATAGAATTTTATGGCTAAATACCTTGAACCATTTCTGGATCTCTCAAGACGGCTAAATTCTGGTATAAGATTATTGTTAAATCTGGTGGGATAATTGTGAAAATCTACATGCGCATTGTATTGGCTAAGATTTTGTTTAATGTGCAACAGACACTGCATAATGTATACACAAGGTAAAGTTAAAATTTTTAAAATTCTAAAGGAGTTTCTACAGTCTGCTCTATAAGAGAGCCCAGAGATAATACGAACACACTTTCTTTGTTGTGCAAACACTTTATCGATATGACAAGAGTGACCCCAGGAGAGAATAGCATATGTCAGATGAGAATGAAAATTACTATGATAAGCTGTTAAAATAGTTTCCCTGGAAGTCACTTGTACAAGGTTCCTGAAGAGAAAAAGTTGTCGGGAAAGCTTTTTCGATAGATTAACTATATGTTGTTCCCAGGTTAATCCTGCATCCAAATATATCCCCAGAAACTTCGCTCCGGTTACACATTGTGGTAGAGCAACGTTTTCGACACAAGTGTTATTTCTTAGAGTAAAATTAACACTTTGTGATTTAGAGTTGTTCAAAGAGAGACGGTTAGTTAAAAACCAATTGAATAAGTTTTTTTCAGATGTTTGGTAATCAAGGGTGTCGAATTCAGAAGGATGATAGCTTGCATAGAAAGTAGTGTCATCAGCAAATAAAACAGTGTTGACTGTTTCATTTTGAGAGTACACTAGATCATTAATATAGATAAGAAATAATACTGGACCCAAAACCGAGCCTTGAGGGACACCAAACAACAAAGATTGTTTTTGAGATTCACACTGGTTGAAGTGAACATATTGATCACGATTTGATAGATATGAATCAATTAGTTGAATAGCATCACTATGAAAATTATAATAAGGAAGTTTTCTAAGCAGAATACTATGTGTGACACAATCGAAAGCCTTAGTAAGATCTAAAAACGATGCAAGAGTATCAAGATATTTCTCAAACCCTTCCAAAACATTGCTAGTGAAATTATCAATAGCTAAAGTTGTTGTTTTATTTTTTCGGAATCCGTACTGGTTTATGGCAAACAGTTTATTAGATTCAAAATGTAGATTAATTTGATTTTTTAAAATTCGTTCATAAACTTTTGATAAGATGGGCAGCAAAGAAATGGGTCGATAATTGTTATAATCATCAATAGAGCCTTTATTCTTAAACAGAGGTACTACCTTTGCAGTTTTGAAAACTTGAGGATAAGTATTACAAAATATTGATTGATTTATTAAAGTTGTTAGAGGTTGAAAAATTATATCTTTAATTGTTTTAATAATTTTTGTGTTAAACCCATCAGGATCTTTGCTGTTACTATTTTTTATTTCTGTAATAGCTAAGTCAACTTCACTAAAGTTCACTGGCTGAAAACTAATACATGGAATATTTTTTTGTGGTACATACTTTAAATAGTCATCAAGAGTTAGCTGAGGAACCTCAAGCTCATTTATTACTCTCTCAGCAGTTGAGCAGAAGTGGCTATTAAAACTATCTGCATTGAGTTTAGAATTATCAGTGAAGAAAACATTTTTATGTTTGTTACCATTAATAAGTTTCCACATAGCTTGTTGAGAGTTGCCAGAATTTTTTATAAACCTATCATTTGCATTAATTTTTGCAAGCTTGATGGCTTCCCTGTACTCTTTTCTAAGTTTGATAATGGTACTTCTAGGTGCAGCAATGGGATCGTTTCTATTTATTGCTATAATAAATTGAAGTCTCTCACGCATTTTTCTCAAAGTGTCATTGAACCAAGAAATAAGGTGGACTAACTCAGGCATCCTGGAAAAAAATAACTGCAATATTTACTACACTGGACATCCTACTCGACACGAATTTGGTACCGAATTTATTGTAAGCAGCAAGGTCAAACATAGTGTAATCGATTTCAGAGCTATTATATCGAATAAGACAAAGGGAAGTTCGCTAATATTAGTATTATTAGCATCCATGCTCCAACGGAAGAAAAAGAGGATGATGAAAAAGACATGTTCTATGAGGCACTAGGTCGAGAGTACGATAAGTGTACAAGAAACATCAAAATAATAGCAGGAGACTTTAGTGCTAAAGTCAGAAGAGAGAATATATTTAAAGATATGATAATAAGACTTATGATAACGGTAGCAGAATCATAAACCTTTGATGTCTAAGAACATGGTAATAGCTGGGACATGATTTCCCCATAAAGATATACATAGGGGAACTTAAAAATCTCGTGATAGTGAAACGATTAACCAAATACATCACATAGTCATCGATGCAAGATACTGCTCTAACTTATTAGATGTTAGGTCTTTTAGAGGAGCAAACATAGATAGTAATCACTATTTAGTTAAAGCACGATTTGAAGAGAGAACATCCAATTTAAAAAAGGAAATCGGGAAAAGGAGAGAAAATATCTAGATTAGATATTTTTGGATAACACCTTTTGGTGAAAAAGAGTTTAAAACTGCTCTCCTGTAAAGTTATAAAAATGGATATAGTGTTGTATCCTTCCGAGGTTAGTAATCTATGGTCCATATGTCATATAAGTCACTAAGTAATCAGAAGTCATAAAATTTATTTCACAGGTAATCTTAAAAACGAACATAAAATGGAGGGGGACTAGTGCTGAATAATATTTTATTAAAATTGAAGAAAATAATATCAAAGATACAATATTATTACTTAGCAATAATAATAACGTAACAAATTACTTTCACTTCGGTCTGATATTCCAATTGCGTTTATTTATCCTACAGTTGTATCCAAATTTGGCTCTGGTCGATATGTCAGCACGCAATTTTAGAAGAGGTACAGTTCCGTCAGCTTCTACTTCGTATGTTTGCAAAAACATTGCCATAAAAAGCCTTATCTCGATGTTAGCTAGTGTTTTACCTGTAAAAAAATTGAGTGACTATTGCATAAAAGTTACAATTAAAATGAACAAATAAAATGAGAAAGGTACTTTGTGCAAGAGAACTGAAATTAGACTTAAGAGTTAGGCTGACAGTGTGTTATATTTTATCGACTTTGCTTTGAGGGATAGAAGCAAGGACACTTAACATGTAACAAAAAACTAAGTCATGAGAAGAGTCAACAAAAGAATGGAAATATTGGAAACCATCAAAACGCGAAAGCTGCAATACCTGGGGCATGTTATGCATAATGAAAGATACAACAAACTTCAATTAATTATTCAAGAGAAAATTCAGGGCAAGAGAAGTATAGAAGGGAGAAGAATTTCATGGTTTCGTAACTTGAGAGAATGGTACGGATGCACATCAATCGATCTATTCAGAGCGGCAGCATCTAAGAACAGAATAGCCATGATGATTGTTAACGTCCGTCACGAAGATAGCACGTAAAGAAGAAGAAAATGCAATAACCATTACAGCATTATGTAAACTATAAGTCCGCAAGAGAGTAAGTTAAAAATATTAATTTATTGAATTCGCTAATATTTACCAATGCATCCTCTAGGGCCAGCGCTAAAGGGCATATAAGCGTATGGATGTCTCTTCTGGACAAATTCAGGCAGAAAATGATCAGGATAGAAATGATCAGGGTTTTTCCAATATTCTGGATCCCTATGCAAAAAATAAATCGGTACTGCTATTGCTGCTCCTTTGGGAATTGTCCATTCATCTAAAATCATAAAATACAGTCTAAGATTACCAGCAATAAAATTTAACATTTAATCGAATAAAAATAAAAAGACAAGGTTATTCCTTTTCAATTCAAGTGTCACCATCCCATATAAGTATTTCATAATTTTCCGATCACCAGGACTTTTTAACTGACATATTGTCGAATTAAAGATATTCCTAACATCGTTTTGTAGTTTACTTTAATCTTAGATAAGGAATAGAGAGGACAGTATTCAATTATAAATTTTGAAAAAATCTATTTATTGATAAATATTCATTATTCTCAATCTACTGAAGAAATAAAATATGACCTGGCAACCCAACTGGTGCCGGTTTAGGGGTGGTTTAGGCTTCAGTAAATTCCATACGATTAAGCGTCCCCTGTCTTTCTTTGTCCAAGACTTAAATCGTCATCAATGTCTTTTGACTTCATGTTTCTTCGTATAGAGGTCGCTACAAGTGTACTCTGGTACATTATTTGATAATAATTAAAAATAATATCTCAAGTCGAACAATAACAGGAAAGTAAGTACGATGCCACAAAAAGTACCTACAGAAGAAGAAGCCAGGAATCCGAGAGGAAGAACAATCTACATCAGGCGGTGCAATAGCGGGACGTCGAGAAGAAGAATAGATATCTTAAGAGTAAGAAATGTTAATTTAAATATGACAATAAACGTTTTTATGTTATTTTTATTTTATTATACAATAACAGGAAAAGACAAGTAAACCACCCTGCGATAGAAATCAAGCAATAATAAATATACATACACTTACGGAATTTCACAAGAAGACAGTATTAATCTCTTTCTCTTTTAAATTCTTTAATGATCAATTGATTAACAGAATAAATTTATATACTTCCACATTTAGTTATAAAAACTTTAAGTAGTTTGAAGCTTGGCGTTTTCTTAGATTGATATTTGCTTATATTTATAGAACTTTAAAAAAGTACCGTAAATGTTATTACCTAAATGATAATCTTCTATACTCTTTCGTAAAATTATTGGGGCTATAGGAAATAATCTTAATACATCTTTAACGCACATATCCAAATATTCAAGCTTATATACGTCTTCTAAAGTAATTTCTCTCGGTTTTTCACCAATTACATTCTTTATTTCGTCCACAGCTTTAGCCTACAAAATAATAATAATTTATTGATTATTTTCAATGATATTCCACTTCGTATTGAATGTTCACTTTTGAAGTAGAAAAATATTTACCTGATATTCAGGGTACATTCCAAAACAAACAATAGAAAAAGAGCTAATTATGGAAAACGGGTCTTGTGACTAAAACAGAATATTTTCTACATTATACAACCACAAGTACACCATAGCATATACTATAATAGCAATGTAAGTGATATAGGAAAAATAGGGAGAGTATTATATATGGTCCGAGTAAGGCATGGCGCTACTAGTTTTGATGTAAATGTGCATTGATCTCTCCTGATCCGACAGTTTATCTACCGAAAAATCGTAATTTTCTACCGATTTTTATTCTTTGGTACATTTTATCCCGTCATCATTATCATCTTTGGCTCGACAGTCCTTTGAGGATCCTGGCCTCTTTTAATTATTCGTTTGTTTTGTTGATAGTAGTCTGTTGATCAAGGTATCTGAAGCTGTCAACACGTTCAAAGATATAACTTTCAAAGACTGTTTCCCGTTCCTTATTTGTTATATAATCCTTAATAATCAACATGTACTTGGTTTTGTATTCGTTGATGACTAGACCGATCTATTTCGCCGCCGTTTCCAATTCTAGGAAACATTGCTTAACATCCCGCTTGTCACGCCCAATTATAAATAGTACCGTCTATATTAACATACACGACGGAGACAAGGCCTGACACATCTAAAACTAGACGACTGCTAGAAACAACAGAGATGAAAATACTCCGACGAATATCAGGGAAAAGTCTGTTGGATAGAGAGAGAAGTGAAAACATAAGAAGATCGAAGAGCATGCAATATAGAAGACATAAATGGATGGGTGACAAAACGAAAACAGGAGTGCAAAGAACACATCAGTAGAATGACACAGGATAGAATAGTACGAATAGCACGAGATAAGTCACCAAATGGACGAAGAAATATTGGCAGACCAAGAAAAAGATGGTGTGACAATTTAGACAATTTAGGAGGGTAATATTGAAGAAGAAACAGGCTTTAAAGCCTACATACTAAAAGGAAGAAGAAGAAGAACCGCCTTCTCTAATTCATGTGTCTCGGACTACCTTTTCCAAGGCAATGTTAAATTGGAAGTAAGCCAGGGCATCCTCTTAGGGATGCCCTGGCTTGGAAAGCCAGGAATTTATCTTTTATCTCAAAGGATCGAGAATTCTCTTCTTATTTCCAACACTGGTTTTTAAGTTAGACATTGTCATTCTCGTTAATTGGAGAAATTTTTCTGGTATACCAAACTCACGCATTGATTGATATAGTATTGTTCTCGTGAAAGTGTCGTATGCGGCCTTGAAGTCGACGAATAGGTGATGGGTTTCAACGTTAAATTCTAATGTTTTCTTGAGGATCTGTTTTATTTAATGAATCTGGTCAATTGTTGATTCTTCTGGTGTAAATCCGGCCTGGTGTTTTCCAACTATGCCTTCTGTATAAACTTGTAGTCTTTCGTAGAGAACATTTACAAGTATTTTGCAAGCAGTTGTTAACAGGGTTAATTTGGTACATTTTTCTTCTTAAGTTGTTTAAGAGATACACCCTATATTCGTTACATTTAAAAAAAGCTGATTGTCTCTGTATTTAAATCGTTTAAAACGGTGTATTATCTTTTAAATATTGGATATTAATATTGAATTTGCCGCCAAATGTCTTAGTTCAAGACTCGAACGCGTGAAGCGCTAAAAACTCTCTCTCTCTACTTTTTACTATAGGAGATACCATGCTAAAGGGATATATGCTGTGTTTTTTTGTTGTTAATAAACAGGTTCTACTACTTACTGCACTTATTATATTTGTTAAATGATCGACTAAATCTTCTCGACTGAGTATTCTACTATTTTGTTCTACAATCTCTGTAAGTATGTCAAGTACAGGTATAAATGTGTTAGTCTTATTAAATTTTCTTCTCGCCCAAGAGTCTGTGATAGCCTAAAATAATATAGGTGAGATATCAGTTTCGCCGAATGGTCAAAAACCCAAGTACAGGCTACTAGAGATTTAATAAATATCTACGCTTGTGTTAATCTCTTAGACCTCACTAATTGGAACATATTCTAACTAATAACTGATCTGGTTGTAACAAATATTTTGCTAGAAAATAAAAAGTAAAATATGTTTTAATAATCTAAATCTTTTGATGACCTTGTTAATTAACCCTTAATTAGTATGGCGGGGTCAATTTTGATCCCAATCAAACTGTTTATTTAATTCTCAGAAAAAAGGGAAGACGCGGAAACCTCGCCTTACAGCTATTCTCAAATAATATCTAGTATATTGCTTAAATGTTGTAGTATATATTTAATAGGTTTTAAAGAAGAATGACTAATTTAGAAGATGAAAAGAAACCTCTAACCCAGCAGGAGTTAGACGAGATTGCTGAACACTTGTTTGGCAGTGATGATCAGTGTTTCTGACGCCAAAACAATTATTACTGATCATTATACTGATAGTTATTCTGAACTTAGTGATAATAACCAAGGTGATACTGTGAGTAATGATCAAATACCGTCCAGTGATTTATGTAGATAGGACGAAAATGTTAAAAAAGAAGAGGGAACTGGGAGAAATTACTATTATCCTGTTGGGGCTCTGAATCAGCCAACTTCCTAGACTCTGCGGCTGACTTTTTATTCTACTACAAAAAGTTGTTTTTGTTTCATTGTAAGAAATTAGCTAGTCCTTGTCAAGAGTAGCTACTTAAAATACCCAAAGTCCAAAGGGAGATAAACATAAGCTTCGACTTCTATACAAGAAGCCTCTTGCAGAGCGTGCGAGGCAGAAAGGCATATTAGTAGTCTTTTCTCCCCCGAGATAATATTCCTATTAATTATTTACTATAATAATTTTTTAACTATAAATTACAAAATTATTTTCTTGCATATACCTCGTTAATAAAATGATATAATGCTGACAAGGCATCGTCTTGTTCCTTTTTTAAGGGATGCAAGTTATATATAAAATCACTATGAAGCCACAGTTTTACCATTCTTGTGAAACCACAATACAATAACCTAAAAAATACAGACACACTTAAGTCAAATAAAATAAATATTATTTTTAAAAATTAAATTTAAAGTAAATAAATTTTTCGCAGGATGCCTCTGTTAGAACAGGAACTGGTGATATCCAAATTATGAACATAGAAAGAGGCGTTGCATTTTATCCTCTCTTGTGTTTAACTTATATTTAATAGAAATCTCTTCAAATACCTCACATGATACACATTAAGATTTAAAAATAAATGGAAAAATTATCAACAATATCCAATGAGCCATTCCCCGTTAACCTCCTTTATACCGCCAAAAACCTTACTCTAGATTTTCCTCTCCCAAATCTCTACCTATTTTCTTCTTTCTGATTAATTTTCCAAGTTTTACATGCGTAATATACCGTTGGTCTTACTACTGTTTATAAGATCGAATCTTGGTTGCTCTAGACACGTATTTACCTTCAACAGTGAATTTATTGATCCTACTGCTTTGCTACCTTTCAACAACCGTTTATCTATTTCTCTCTCTTCACCTCTTTTATTTTTATTTCTAACTATTACTTCAAGGTACTCAAATTCTGTTACTTTCTCAAATTTATACTCTCTCACTTGTCCTTAGAGTGATCCATTTATTTTCTGCTGAATTTTTCCCCTCATTTCTATATACTTCGTTTTTTCTTGATTTATAGTCAGGCTATATTTTCTAGCTTCTTCAAATTTGAGTATTTTTGAATCATATTTCTTTATTAAATAAAATATATTTATTTAATAAATATTTCTTTATAAATTTATAAATCAGTACGTATGACGTATAAGTGTACGTCATTGTCAAATCTGTACGAAAAACATGGCGGCTGATGAAAAGCCCCATTAATAGCTCATGTAAACTTACTGCAGTACACTGCTTTCGTTGAAAAGAGAAGAATACTTATGAACAATGAGAGCGCATATTCATTACGTTTGATGGAATACTTAAAATTTGTAAATGCTAATCAATAAACAACTACAAAATTTCAAAAATGAACACGTAAACGTTTGTTTTAATTGTTATAATTTGATTTTGTTAATAAACTGCATAACGTGAAGATTTTTTGTTTTTAAGTTACAATTAATATTATCTATGTGCGTGGATATATAGTATCTACCAGCAACTCTCAGTTACAGTTAAAATTTAATCAACCTAGCAAAACAATGATTATAAAACTTAACAAGACAGTTGGGATTGGTATCAGTGAACTGAGTATATAATCCAAAACTGTTTAATTCTTATAATAATCATAAATAGTATGTCGAATTAACCTACGTAATTATTGAAACATTTTAAAACTGCATTGTTATTTCTTATATATATTATGTAAATATTATAAACTACAGATTAATGTTGTACTTACTTTGACATAACTTGAGATAATTGTATATTATATACACTCTGACTATTTAATTTTTGTCCCATTACAATTTCTGGAAAAGAAGAATAAGAGTTTAAAGAACATGGTGTACATATTATGAATTTACTATAATATGTTAATATCTACAGCGAGCACATTATGCGAAAGGTACTAGATGGATGGAAGGGCGGAATATCAGTAGAAGGTCAAAAAATCAATAACTTGAGATATGCTGATGACACTTTAAAAATCGCGGCAAATCAGGAAGAAATGGAAGACATAATGAGATGTTTGGAGGAAAAAAGCAAAACATATGGACTAAAGCTAAATAGGAGTAAGACAAAGATCATGATAGTAGACAGAGCTCGGAATAATATTCAACACATTAAAGAAATTGGGGACATTGAAGTAGTAAATACTTTCATATACCTGGGGTCCCTAATAACAAATGACGGAGGGTGTGACTGAGAAATACGTAGAAGGTTGACTGTTGCTAGAACAGCCATGATGAAACTGATAGCAATTTTAAAAAATTCTAGCTTAACAATACACACAAAGCTAAGGCTGGTAAGGGCGCTCATTTTTCCCATAGATATGCTTCCGAAACGTGGACCTTAAAGAAAGCGGATAAAAATAAACTGGACGCTTTTGAAATGTGGGTATACCGCCGCATGTTGAGAATATCCTGGATTGATCATCGCACTAACGTATCGATATTAGAACAACTTAAGTTGAAGAGAGTTGAAGGAAAGGGACCTAGGGGAAGATCTCCAAGCCGTTGGATAGATCAAACAAAAATATTGATTAACCAAGGATTATACGAAGCCGAACAACTAGCCCAGGACAGAGAAGAATGGAGGGAAATCGTAAAAAAACTGAAGGCCTGATGGTGTCACCGCATCCCAAAAGGGATTAGGACTGAGGAGGAGGAGGAGGATAATATGTAAATCTCATAATTTCGTAAAATCAATTAGAATTACAGAGAAACCAAACAGAATGAACTGAAGAATAATGCCAAGAAATCGAAATTCTACTACAGTCCTTCGAGCCAGACCAAACTTTGTATGTGTAAATGGACTGCATGCTGGTGAATCTTATTCCAGACTATGTAGATATTCTTGAGATGATATGGACTCGACTGATCAAAGTATTTATTGTTTTCTACAATGTTGGTGAACGACTGAGCGCGGGTATAGAGTAACTGTCATACACCTGAACTATAGCGGCGTTACCAGAATACAAATTAAGTAAATATTGAGCAATTTCTTATTATAAAGAAGAAATAATTGTCACAGATAAACCCAATAAAGAACAAAGAACGAATAGGATCCCAACAAGGAACAAAGTTATTTATTATTTATCTCGATCAGAAACTAACATGAAAAGCACACATTAAAGCGAAAATACGAGACTTGATATTATTTCCGATAGTTCGGTTTTTACTTTTATTTTTGCTCTCTTATTTGTATTCAAGCGGTATATTACAATATAGTCCAGGTAGTGCGGCATTTTTTGCCTCCAAATTCTTTATAACTACACACATTTTTCTGAAATTTTTACAGTTAATAGGAAATTACTTATAGGCGATAATATTTAAAGGTTGGATATAAGCAGATAATTGCTGTCATGATATAAATGCACTACAAAAACTTTTAAATCGGTTAAAGGATTTTTTACGATTATTTTTAATAAAAGGGGATTTTTTAGATTGTATAAGGATTGAGAATGTGCACAGTATCCATTATAATAATTGAAAATATTTTAATTGCACAATTTACTATTATTTAAATCCATATAATGCTTTAATAATAATTTTTTTCTTTGTTTATTTGATAAGAGGTGATTTTCAGCCGTATTATATGCCTTATTCCAAATTTTTAGAAAAATTGATTCAGTTATAAAAAATTTAGAGGTATTCACCTGTTTTCCTCCACAGTGACTCAATTATCAAAAATTGGTAGAGGATTCCTTAATTCTGTTAATAACGAAGCAAATCACTCCCTTACGAATCAGATATATCTTAATTGCATTTCTATGAGCAACTGAATACTTACCGGCTATAACACCCATTGAACAAGGTTCCATAACATGGACGATATCAAAAGTTTTCCCATTAGCAAATTTTTCTAGTTCTTCCATACAAAGTTTGAACCGTTCATTCATTATAGGTAAAGTACTCTTTACAAAGCTCAAATTAAACATTGGCTGTAAGAGTCTTCTATGTATTTTATATTTCGGTTTTAATCCTAAGGTATAAAATTATAAATATATACACATCTATAACATTCAAATTTTGAAAATAATTTAATAACAGCCAAACAGAAAATTATTAATGCACTGGCAAAATTTTATAAAATAAATTCAAATAGTGCAAACTTAAACCTTCACACCAAGAATTGGAAAACCAAGTACAAAAATTTACCGAATTAATACACTATCCCTTGTGGGAATCAACTGCATCATGAGTCAAAACTCAAAACAAAAGGCACTGCCCCCCCTAGTATAAGAGAGAAGATTAAAGAAAAACGCCACCTGAAATATCTGGCAAAACACAAGACACCCTGCAGATAAAGCAATCTATGACAGGGTAGCCAAACTTTTAAAAGACTACCTATCAAGCATCATTAAAAACAAGAGCTTCCAAAACTAGTCAAAACCCTAACGTTAACATAGACTACAAATTACAGCTTATGGAAAGCAAAAGCTCCAGGACACGACTTAATCACTGGAAAAATTATGGAAGAACTACTGCGAAAAGGGATCCTTATGTTAACCTAGGTTACAAAAGCCGTTATAAGACTTAAATATTTTTTAGCATAATGGAAGGTAGCGCAAATAATGCTTATTCCAAAACCTGGTAATCCTCAACACGAGACAATTCTTACCGACCAATAAATCTACTGCCTGTCATGTTAAAAATTATGAAAAAAGGTGTGGCATCAGGGACTACGGCATAAACTAAAAAAGAACCTATATCAGAACATGTATGACATACTATACTCGTACCTCATCATCATCATCATGGCTTATTCACTCCTGGCGGAGTGTTTGCCGCCCTTTTGGGCTCTCTGATTCATTTATTGCGGAGAATCAGTCCGCTGTTGTTTTTTTTTATTATTATAGCAGCGTGTGTGACTTGGCCCTGTCTACAATTTTCCTCCATTCTTTCCGATCCTTACAGCGCTCCTTCCAATTGTAGATTCTCAGCTTCTTTATGTCTCCTAAGACTTGATCTCTCCATCTTATTTTGGGTCTCCCCTTTGGTCTCTTTGTTGTTGGTCTCCATCCAGTTATTCGCTTTAGCGTAGAGTCTGGGTTAGCTCTTTCTGTGTACCTAAAGCGTACCTAAAAGAAAGATATTTCCGGGTAAAATATGAAGACGAAATAACCAGTCTACTTCTCACAAAGGCAGGCGTTTCTCAAGGTAGCGTTCTTGAGCCGAAACAGAACAACTCCAAGAAAACTTAAATAAAGTCCAGAAATGTTCAGAAGTGGAAGATAAAACTCAATGAATCTAAATCAAGCGAGATAATATTCATTAAATGCAATAGCGATTCATCTCAAATATTACTTAACAACTCTCTCTTTTCAACAGTAGTTGTCCCAGTTGTCGTTGCGAAATAAACTACTAGCGTACAATGCCATACTGAAGAAAATCTGGAGATGCGGAATAGAGGTGTGGGGACCGATTTCAAAACAAGGTATTACGAGCAATAACTTATGTGCCAAGGATTGTAAAAAACAAAGACATACTACAAAATCTACAAGTCCCAATGATGAGTGAAGTGATAGTGTCTTATAGTGATAAATATTTACAATGATTAGAGAACAACCCAAAAATGGTAGCGTTAAATTTATTGGATATTATTCAACAAACGAGATACCTGAAGCAACAATTACCATTAGATCAACCATTATTTCTCTCCGCACCAATGATGTAAAGTCAACCAATGTGTATATGATTAGTTAACTTTGTCAGTTCAAGAGACATTTTAACAGTTTAAAGAGGGTCCACAAAAAATCAAAAAATACTTCTCCAGGCCATATTAGATGGTACGAAAGACTAATATAGATGGTACGAAAGCACCATAAAAAAAATATATCTAATTTATCTATCAACATATATTGTCAACCTATTAAAAACTATTAAATACGTACCTGATGCTGTGATTAATCCATCTCCACCAAATTTTTCCAAAAATTCATACAAATCGTGCTTGTAAGCGAATTTTTGCGATGACATTATCTTCTAAAAATAATTATTCTATCAATATCAAAAATAACTGTAGTGTATGACAGTATATTACAGTAGAATTTCATGGGATCGTTATAAAATTATTTTGCTTCTTTCTTTTTATTTTTCCATCTTCTATTAACTCTTGTAAATGGTTCACCTGTGATGCATTTATATGAAGTTTAGTGTAAACATATTCGTGGGGTTGCATTTTTCACCCACACGTTCCCAGTTGGTTCTATCTTGGGGTTTTATTTCTTGCATATTTTTTAATTATATACAATAGGACTGGGGAGAACTGGGGAATATATTAGTAGTAATTTGTCTTGCCAGAATAACTTGATTGAAATATTAGTGTGATGAATTTATTTGTATGCAAATATGTAATAAAGCCAAAATAATAAATACCTCTAAATGAACTGGATTTTTCAAGGCAATAAGTAAATATGGACCCAACCAAAATCGTAACGGTTCATGTTTGACTGGTTCAAATGCAATTTTTATTTTCTCCAAAATATCTACAAAAAAAAAACAAAAACATTATCAATATGCTTGATAATTAGAATCATTAAAAATGTGTATCTTTAATTTTACCTTCGGAGTCACAAAAGAAGGAGAGAGCGTTACCGACTATCGGTAAGCCTTTGGGTCCCTGAATTTTGGCTGCAGCTGCATAGAGATGGCGTCTTGACCAATAAAATTTAGCTACTAAACTTGTTATAAAAACAGCCAATAAGACAAGAAACCTACGGAGGAAATAATCAGTTTATTTAATCAGTAAACAAATGGCGAAATATACTACATATATAGTCCAACAACATATTAAAGAGAGTGACTTATTCTCAAAAACGAAATCTAACATCGCGAACTGTTGGATAAATCCACAATTCCAGCGGCGTCTTTATTTCATTAAGAGGACGTGGAATGCATCTACTGCCTTGAATTTTTTTTCTTCCGACAAAGCTGGACAACAATTGAGACGCTGCTGCAAATGCTACAGATGGTGTCATGAAGCTTGCGGTGGAGCTGAAGGCAACATTAATTTCATTTGCGAATTTTGTATGGATGGATAGTCACTATTAACTTATATTAATTATTTTGGTACCTTTTAGAATAATAAATATCATTTACTGAAATAAAATTGATATTTTGTAATCACCAAAATAACAAATATATTGTTTACATTGTACATGTACCGGGTGGTCGATAATAAGCCGATCTCTCGGCTATATTATCAGAAACTATTCATGTTATAACTTAAGGAGAAAAAATTCCTTAGTAAAAGTGACCAAGAGAAATCGCTGGAAATAACTTTAAGTTTTTGGGTTAACTGCTAGGGGGCGTAATCTGCGAAGAATGCTTTAAAAACCAGTTTTTTGGGAAATATGCCCAATTATACCAAGTATTAAATAAGTAAACTAGAAAGAGGCCTAAATTCTGCACAAAATTGTTCAAGTACTTTTTTATTTTTTCAAATAAAGGGTGGGGAGAGTCGGAAAGTATTTGTGGATAAATACCTATAACTTTGGTTTGGATCAACCGATTTTAACGAAATTATTGTCATTAGAAAGAGTATAGATGAATTAATTTAAATCTACTATAAAATAATTGCATTTAGTTTTAATTGTCATAGGTAGAGGGTACTTTCGAAACAAAAAAATTAAAATTTGTTTTTCTTCAAAATGTTATATATAAACACCTATTTATTGTAAATTATAATAGAACTGGATTAAATTCAGCTAAAACGCATAAACATAAGTAAGTATAGTCTTGACTCACCCTGTATTATAAATTAAATTAAAAATAAGTCAGTAGGTACTTTCAAATTTTTTATAGCAGAAGAATCTTAATGTTGATACCTATTTTGATCATTGTTATTTCACATGATTAAAAATAGATTTTTTTAAACAAAGTCTGCGACAATGAATTTGACGGGGAGTTTATATTGTTTATTGTATATAAGTGTTAATTATAATTCGAATTGAAGATTGTACTTTTTTCAATAGATATTAATATTGGTAATATTAGTAATTAATTATCAGTACTAATAATTCGTGATGAGTAGGTATATCAAATGCAGAATTGTATGATATGATTGGAGTTTATTTCGAATGTCACCAAAATACCGCTATTGCCTCACGTATATATTCTGTAAGATATCCTGACAGGAGACATTATGGCAAAGAAGTATTTGAAAAAAGGCAATAAGATGAAGAGAAACTGGTAGTTTTGATCGTCTTTGTTTTAAACGACATAGTAGAGGTATGACCGAAGATAATTCAATCAATGTTTGCTTTAATTCAACAAAATCCACATATAGTCGGCAAATCTCTAAAGAATTAAACATACCCAAAACTACTGTTCTAAGGATTTTAAAACATCACAGGTTGGTTTTTCATATTATAAAGTCAACGTTTAGGAAACTTGGAATTCCCTTTAAACTTTTGATTCAACTGTTATTTTAATATTCCGATAAAAACGGCAACACGTTTTTATCCTTTTATCAGTTTCTTAAAAATACTTATGCACGTTTTATCTTGTGAAACAATTGTGGATTTTTCAAGATTTTTTTAGTTTTAGCAAATATAGTAGTTTCTTTTTCACCAATATTTGTTGTTCTGTTTTTTAGACTGCATCCTTATCATGTAGTTCTCCACCAAGCTTTACATGAGAGAAATTTTGATGCAAGACTAGATTACTGCAATTTTATGTTAGGTCTGCTAGAAGAACAATCGCATATCATGTCAAAGATTTTGTGGACAGACGAGGCTACGTTTAATAGTGCAGGTGGTGCTAATTCTGCATAATCAATAGAAATATCCGCACTGGATACATGAGGTGCAGGTTCAAGGTAGATGGAGTCTTAATGTTTGGTGTGTTATAGTGAATGGAAAGATCGTAGGTCCATATTTCTTTGATAGAACTTTAAATGGCGAAACATATTTGGATTTTATTGGAATATATTTTCTTACAAACAAGAAGAGATATGATATTACAACATGACGGGTGTCCTGCGCACTTTTCCAGACGAGTTCTAGATTATTTGTATGCAAGTTATCCAAATAAATGGATTGTAAGGGGAAGTATATTTTCATGGCCAGCTAGATCTCCAGACTTAACATGTCTGGACTTTTATCTGTGGGGAAGATTGAAGGACTTAGTGTACCAAACTCGACCAACCACGCGAGACGACATGAAACAGCGCATTATAAACGCAATAAATAGTATATCAACAGCTGAGATTGAAGCAGCTGTTATGTCTACGCGCGAAAGATTACAACTTTGTGTGGATAACGATGAAAAACAATTTGAACATTTAATTGGACATTAAGTTTTAATGATCGAGATATTTGTATGATCTTTCACATATTTAATTTTAAGTTATAATAAAGGGTGAGTCAATACTATACTTACTTATGTTTATGCGTTTTTATTCATATCTCGAGTTCGACAAAAGCTATCAACATGCGGTTTACGCCATTTTGTTACGAATTTAATCCAGTTCCATTATAATTTACAATAAATAGGTGTTTCTATTTAACATTTTGAAGAAAAACAAATTTTAATTTTTTCTATTCGAAAGTACCCTCTACCTATGACAATTAAAACTAAATGCAATTATTTTATAGTAGATGTAAATTAATTCATCCACACTCTTTCTAATGACAATAATTTCGTTAAAATCGGTTGATCCAAACCAAAGTTATAGGTATTTATCCACAAATACTTTCCCACTCTCCCCCACCCTTTATTTGAAAAAATAAAAAATTACTTGAACAACTTTGTGCAGAATTTAGGCCTCTTTCTAGTTTACTTATTTAACACTTGGTATAATTGGGCATATTTCTCAAAAAACTGGTTTTCAAAGTTTTATTCACAGGTTACGCCCCCTAGCGGTTAATCCAGAAACTTGAAAGTTATTTAAAGCGATTTCTCTTGGCCACTTTTACTAAGGATTTTTTTCTCTCTAAAGTTATAACATGAATAGTTTCTGATATATAGCCGAGACATCGGCTTATTGTACCACCTGGTACATAAAATAAGCTATTCCCTAATATCGAATTTGGGTTTTTTTTATTAACATTTTATTATCGCCTACAGATATCTTTTAGTTATTTCAATTTTACCAGAACATAATTGAGAGTTATACTAATAAATTACCAATAACAAAACAAAATTTGTATTTTTCTTTTTTTTGTAAAAATAGCGGTTAACAAACGTGTATCCAATATTAGTCCACTTTCCTCTATATATAACGCAAATTATTAGAACCATTCTATTCGCCGTATAAAAAACATTACTAATAGATAATGCCCAGGCATTAAAATAATCAATTAGCCATTGTCGATTAAATTAATTGGAAAAATCTTATAAATAAATAAAAAAAACTTGTGTATCTACTTACATCGTATTTCTTTCACCGTTTTTAGGACACTGTTCGCAACAAGATCAAGTTGCGATGTATATGAAGAATAATTGTTTTTATTCTCCTTAAAAGGACAGGTCAAGGAAAGTAAGAGCGGTTTATAAAAATGTGTAACTTTTATGACCATAATATAGTACAAACAATAAATAATTAAGTAATAGGGTTAACGCTGTAAGATCAAAAAACACGGACATCTTCATATACTGGACAAGGCTAAATGCAAATGAATGTAAATTCTAAACTTTTAAATTCATACTTCCCTAATAATGTTACATCAAAAGTGGTTAGAAATTGTATTTATTATTTTTTAATAAAACCTGAAAAACTATTGAACTGTTTTAAAATGGACAACATTCTAAAACAGTTCTAAGTTCGAATTTTTTGGAAAAACGCAAAAACACGTTAATTAATATTTGAATGAGGAGACATTATATCATATTTAAAGTTGCTGGAAAATGCACTTTCAATTCTTGCTTTATCTTTATATTTTCTTTTTTCAGTGCTATCATCTCTTCTCTATATTCCTTATTTTCATTCCTGATTTCTTTCAGTTCCCCCATCATTTTCGTGAACATGCTCATAACGTCGTCCACATCCTCTGAATCTTCTTCCTTTGGTTTTCTTTTGCTTGGGGTTCTGGCAGTTTTTTTGGTCTGCTTCCTGCAGAGCACTATAGTAGTGCACTGTATAATCAAAATGGGGAATAATAAAGGGAATACTAAAATAATACAGCGTTCTACTTAAATAATATATTTACACTCTACTTGAACTTTACAGCTTTTAGTCTCTAACGTGTTATAAAAAAATAAAATAATATAAACAAAGAAAAACAAAACCTACATTGAATGTACGTAAAAATATTTAAATATTATAATAAATAATACTTTCTACACTTAAATTCTTTACCTTAACATATAAAAATTCAAGTACTTCGTTATCGGTTACAAAGAAAAAACAGTTAGTCATTATTCACTGGCGCGTAATGACTTTTGTCTTTTTAAAAATTAATTACACTTGAGTAGACGATTTTACAATTAATAATGCTCAATAATCCTATAATAACAGGTCAATGGGCATATAATTAATGCTAATATATTGCTAGTCATGTACGTTGATAGGCATTACCTTAGGTGAAGACCTAAGGTAAATATTTTAAACTTATGAGTAAAAATATAATTAACAAAGCGTTTTCTTAATCGAAATCCACTATATATAATAAAAGAAATAAATGCAAACTATATTTTTGAAAAATGTGCCCCATGTTTACTAATAAATGACTGTGATGTTTAACCATACTGTGATTTCTTGAAATGTAAAGGTACGTAAGTTAGGGATTCAATATTAAACTGACTGATTAGCTCAGGGTTGTAAAGAATTAAAATCAAACAAATCAGGAAATAAAACAATCACTCAGTGAAAGAATTCTATACTTAGTGTCGTTGGAGAACCGCAAAACCAATGGTTCAACCAAAAAAAAATAAAAAATATTCCAATCATTCTATCTCGTCTAAGAATAGGCCATACTGGCAATATATGTTTGCCATATTTTACTGGAGTGTCCTCTATAGAGTGTAGAGAAACTTAAAGAGCAATTGCAAGATACCTTACAAGTAATACTAAGTGGCGGAACTGATATAAAAAAATTGTCATCATACATTACTTAAATGTACTAGATAAATGTTAATTTTTACTACGCCAATGAGCCTTAGAGGTTGAGGCATACTAGTAAATAAACAAAACAATAGAATGATATCAAATACGAATGACTAACGACTGCTATTTTGGCCTAAGCCCTCAACAAAGGAAAGACAAAAGAATTGCAAATTTTATAAAACTATAATACGTCCACTGCTCATTGCATTCTTAGACATTTTGGTGAAACAAATATTGTTACAGGCACAATATTGTTACATATAGAAGTGATGTTGTAAAAGAACAGTTCGACCTAAGATCAGATATTTGGATATGAAGGAAGATTGAGAGAGATTACAGACTCGAAGACACACTGAGGGAAGAGTGAAAGAATGTTTGAGGCAGGCCAAAGTTTACAGTGTTGTAAACCATGTTATATATTACTAAATACGAGTATGTATATTGGAAAATTTTCAAAAATATGGTTTGAATTTATTTTTATATGTAAATATATGTGTAGATGCTTATGCTTTTAAAAACATATACTTAAGAATGGATGGATATCATATTATCATTTTACTGTTAATTCATTTAAAACACTAATATGTTTTATAAATTTAGAATTTTTAAAATAGTCAATATATGCAGACAATTTACTGAAAATCTAAGAAAACGAAGAAATCTCTAAGCAGCTCATCTAACAAAGCTAAGACTCTAGCAATATACTTACTAAATATATGCCAAGTGACTATAAATTGTCAGTGTTATGTAAGGAACAAAGATTATTAACTTTAACAATCGAATTTTTTACTGGAAGACTGTAGAAATAGATGAATCGTGATTTTTAAGTTGACCAACATCAAAATAATAAAAGTGAAGTAATCAAAGATTCAGAATGTTCACTATAAAAGTAAGAACTTCTAAATAATTCCCTACCTAGACAGAATTCTGACTGAAGATAGTAATATACAGGCAAACAGAACGGAGAAATATATTGTCCCGGGAGAGAGAGAGAGAGGAGAGGAGGAGAGTATACAACGCAGGCAACTGACTTATTGAACATTTCAATACACGATGATGACAGAATATCAACAATATAGTCTGCTATACATGAGATATCTAAGAATTGTAGAAGGACAAAAAAAACAGTAGTCAACGACCAAATAGAAACAAAAGAAGCTTCCAAATTGACATATTAATTGACACATAGAGAAAATTCATCCAGATAAACCATCAAAAAGAGTAATAGAAATAGGGATCCAGACAGAAGGAGAGGAGAAGAGAGGAAAAGTCAATAGCAAATGAGTAAGCAAGAAATGGAAACCAAAGATTACAAAAATCAGTTTCGATATCAGAAAATATATAATGATACAGTCAAAGAAGAAATTAAACATCAGATAACAACTTCAGTTACATAATATATGTTCACATTTCCACAGAGCCGCTGTTCCTGTCTCCAATGAAGCTGAAGTTAGGTTAGGTTAGGTTATAATTCTTTTTCCAGATCCAGATTCATCTGGATTAATAACTGAATACATGCTTCTCTACACTTCTTTGCCATATCTGACCATTTTGTACAGAAGCAAAATACAGTCTCTAATAAATTGTATTGCAAATCAAACATATTCTGCCAACTGTGAAGAATAAAGTAAAAAGCATTCAATGAAATCTGAATAGCATAATTGTATTAATCTTACTAATATTTAGTTGCTCTAAACTTTGTAACCAAACAAATTCAACTTTAAATTTTTATTGTATATAAAGTGGACCAGTAAAAGCACAATTGTTACATACCTATGTTCATATTTGCTGGAGAGCAAAATTAGGAATTGATTAATGTGTTATATATTCAACAAATAAAAATGTACCACGCTTGATATTTTTCGATAGAAATGCAGTATATTAACCAAAGAACAAATAATTGAAGAGGCGAGTGAAAGAAGACTCAAATCGCAGTGTTTTAATAGTTGTAAAATGTACAGTGATAGTAAAATAATATTGTCGTTCCACGTCTCTGATGATGAGCGCAAGCGAAGTCGCCATGCTGAAACATCGGCAACTTAATGGTTTCATACTGTTTTGATCAACAAAGACTGGAGCGCAGTATTATCTCCAAAATTTAATCGATCATTAGAAAAACTCGGTAATGGTACTTCACTTCTTTATACTTCCACAATTGTACGTAATTAAAAAGGTGGCTCAAATGTCATGGGCGTCCACAAAAAGAAACAAGTGAGCTGATAGAGGGGTTAGAGATTATTAGTTGTTTACTATACATATTATATCTATAACTTTTTTGTTTAATTTTTTAGTTTTATTTTAATTTATTATTTAATTTTCTAATTTAGTTTCGTTTTACTTGTTTATAAAGAAATTCATTTTTCAGGGTCAAAAAATCAATCAGGAATCGATGGACTTGAAACCTCCGTTTTTTCGGCCCCAATTTTTATCCATAAATTACATTTTGCACATTTTGAACATATGTAACTTTGTTTTAATATGTAGTTTGACTGATGTTTTAATATTTTTTTACGATATTCCAGACAGGGCTTTCGAAAATTTATAAAATAATATATATTGTCTCTTAATGATTAACAAAGCTATAAGAGGGCCCAAACATAACATAATCAAATTGTCCAGTCATACACAAACAACAACTAATAAAATCCTTAATAGAGAAAGTTACAAAATACAACAAGCCATTGATATTAATATTTGTAGACTTTGAGAAAGCGTTTGACTCAGTCCAGCATAGCTCCATGTTAAGAGCTCTTACAGAGTGCAGTATTGATCATAGGTACACAACTCTTGTTTGGAATATATATTATAGCGCAATAGCTGCAGTTGAACGTATTATGACAACACAAATACATTTCCCTTCTAGAGGGGTATTAGGCAAATTGATACCATCTCTCCTAAGCTATTCACCGCTTTGTTGCAGAGTGATATGAGAAACAATAATTGGGAGAATATTGGAATCAACATAAATGGAAAGTTTCTGAACAATTTGATATTTGCAAACAACATAGTCCTTATTGCAGACCGGGTAGATCATGCCTGCCACCTTCTTCAAGACCTTTAGAGCTCGTGTACACGAGTTGAACTTAAAATTAATTTTTCCAAAACACAATATATGACCAACTTTGTACTGGCGAAAAACATCTCAACTAACGGCACGCAAATTTAACAGGTGTATAGCTGGGCCACGAGATTACATTAGGAAGAGATAATCAAACAACGGAACTAAACAGGAGCATAGGACTGGCATGGGCGGCTTTCGTAAAACTGAGAGAAGTCTTTAGATCAGATATTCCCATATGTTTGAAAAGGAATGTCTTTGACCAGTGTGTACTCCCAGTTCAAACGTATGAAGCAGAAACATTGACCCTTCCCAGAAAAGTAGTCAATAAAATACAAGTGGCACAGAGAGCGATGGAGAGGTCAATGCAGAATATATCCCTTAGAAACAGAGTATCAAATGCAATAGTTCGAAGAAAAACTCGTGTTACTGACGCAGTTAAAATAATTACAACATTGAAATGGAACTGAGCGGGGCATATTTTAAAAGATAAAAGGTGGACGAAAAAAAATCTGAAATGAAGACCTAGACACGATACTTATCGTAAACGAGGACGTCCTCCAACAAGGTGGTCAGATGACATCAAGCGCATTCAGCACAATTGGATTCAGGGTGCTCAATTGGAATTATTCACGGGAGACCTATGTCCAGCAGTGGACTCAAAATGGCTGATGATGATGACACAAACAACAAGTCGTTTGTGAAATTTTGAACCTTTTATTCCACAACGAGATGCTATCGAGTTTGTAGAGCAGTGTTATTGTTAACTCTGACAAAGAGAACAACGTTATTCACAATGTATAACCGATGTTTGCATTAGAATGAAATTTCCCAATTAAAAATAAATTCGAAACTTACCTTCACAGTTAATGATTTTGTTGGTCCATAGGCCTCACCACAATGTTCAAAAAGATAAGCTCACGGTATAAAAAGTAGGAAAAAATGCGCGATAGACTGGTGTAGGTCCAAAAATGTTTCTTTTGAAAAAAATGTATTAAAATCTTATAAAACTCATAAGCCAACAATTAATTTTATTTTAAGGAAACATAAACATGATTTAAGATCATCACCGTACTACCAACCTGATTTAAATTACACTGAATTAGTATGACAATTATTTAAACAATACGTAGCAAGAAAAATATCCCCTTTCTAAACAAAACACACACGATTCTTTTACCAACCTCTTCAATTATATAATTATCTTATAAAATGCTTCTTAAACGGCAGTAAAAGGTTAATGAGATGTTTTTGGTACCAAATAAATGTTGTAAAGTGCATAAAAATAGGCATATTTTGTATATTCGTCATCATTTGCGTTAAAATTATATTTTTACATAATATTGTTTCCGTTTTTAGCGCAACAATTATAAAAACAGTTCACTGGTATACATAACAATACGGCCATTGCTTTTTTAGCGCTTGTAAATTTCTTTCAAACAAAATGTTCAAATAGACATGAAAATTTAAAACTAAGTATTAGCTTTGTTTAATTACAGTACTCAAAAATGAACTGGGAAATATATTCACCGGAACAAAATTCAATTCAACGAATGATTGCACATATTTCAAAAATTTCATATCTAGATAGATATCTAAAAACTTGTAGTGTCACAAAATCAATCATTTACAATTCGTTTTAATTTTTAAGATGAGATTTTAAAGTGAAAAGTGTTTATTTTTACATAATTCGCCTAAAGTCAAATTATCCTTGTGTTTGATCAATAGTGTCTCAAAAAAACATACTTGCTGTGTATTTATACCACGCTTCAGTAAAATAAAGATAGTTGGCATACTAGATCAAGGTATCTGTCAAATGAAAGCCTTCAATTAACGGACCAACGGAGTATTCTCCAATTTTGGTAGTGACTGGTTGCCGAGAGAACCGAAAAACCACTTGGGACAAGGTATTACTAGATTGTAATAATGCTTACTTAATTATTAAAGATAAATAATATTAGATATTTAAATGAAAAGAAAAACATATCAAGTAGGAGATTGAAGTCCAAGGAGAATTAGTAGCAAAAATTGGAGGAAGAAAAAAATAAGCCATTGGAAAGAACAATTTCCGACGATTTAGAGAAAGAATTGGGATATCTTCAGACAGACATGATAAAAACGACAGATCTACAGTTTAGGAGAATCAAAATTAAGAAAATAGACTGCAGGCGATCCCTAAACCACGAAAACAATACAAAAATATAAAGAATCACAAATAAGACAATTAAAAAAGAAAGAAGCACAATGAAGTTGTCAACAAAAGAGAAAACAACAGGAAATTGAGCTAGAAAACACTATAAGAAAAATACAGAAGTGAATTAATTAACATTTTAGAAAGAAGTTAAGTAAGAGGAACTAATAAATGATAAAAGTGCTGAAGAATGTCAGCAATAATATTGAAAAAAAAACACTTTCCAGAAAGAATAGCTGACAAGAAAATTGTAGCTCAGTAAATGACACATACACACTCAGTTAACACACACGGTATGGGTGCCAAATAAAGAAGTGCCCCAAGAGTATGACAAGCGGGAGAAATCTATATATACGGGTCAATGGATAAATTACCTTCTAAGGTACTAGAGAAAACCAAGAAATGGTTCTTGGTTCACAAAGAGCCAAGAATTGGTAGACCCAGTTCGTTCTCTGAACTGTTTACCCTTATATTTATTTGTCTATATATACTTATATTAGAAATTATGAATTGTGACACTACAGTTTAAATTCCATACTTAAATAGAGTAAAAAAATCTTACTCGTTTAAACGTTTCGTATAACCAAATAGGTTTAAGTAAACAAACACCAAGGACTACAATCTTATGGGCCAGGTTAGTTAGCACACTACATTTTACAATCTCCGTTCTATAAAGCTCCGAATATCGTTTTATTTCTCCAATTAATTTCACTCACACGTCAAACGATTTATTCTTATAAATATATCTTTTGTAAATACATATAAAAACATCACAAAAATGAAATCAAACTTTGGTTTTCACCAATCACCAGCGACCGTTATAGTATATTCAATTCACCTATAACAGAAAATCCTTAAGATCTTGTCACTTGTCAATATCATTGCAGAAGTACTTTCTTTAAGTAGGAATTATCATTTATATTTCTTGGTGGATCATTATACGTCAATAGTAAAATTTATCTTATTTTTTATTTGCATTTGTATTCAAAATCAAATTGAAATTGGGAACAAAATAAACGGTAATGGAAAGAAAACTTTGTATATATCAAGTTATCAAATTTCTTTCGAAAAACTATAAAAATTTTGAGTTTATATATTTGTTAGTTGGTTCTAATAATTGTTAATATAATTCTTATTATAATCATGCCCAAATTTCTTACACAACAACTTTAAGTTACTTTAGAAGAGGTAGTTGATGAGCTGGAAAATGATGGTACGTATTTTTATTTTACATTGTCTTGATATGCATACTACAGTATCTGTAATTTTTAGGTGAAATAGATATTGCTTTTATTCCGCCAGACGTGAATGAATTAACTGATAAGAAAGATATTCCAGACCCAGAGGGAATTGGAAATGAATTTACGAGACACAATAAAGATATTGCCTGCACATTTGAAAGCCACACTAGTGAGGAAGATTTACATGATGTAGAAGGTGATTTGCGTTTCGTAGCGGATTCTTCGACTAAGAAATCCTTACATACAAAAAGTAAATCTAGAAGTAAGAAAAAAATGTGAAAGAGAGTCCCAACTGGAAAAAAAGTCAATTTTTGCATAAGCAGTTACCTGAATCAAATAAAAAAGCATCTACTGAATCTCTGAAGTCTTTGGAAGGACACCATTAGAAATTTTCTTTCTAATTTTTGACTTAGATATGCAAAGACATGATTGTTCAATATTCTTTACAATATGCTCATGCCAGTAACAGACATGAATATAGTCTAACTAGAAAAGTCTTTCTTAACTTTATTGGAATTTTAATTTTTTACACTTTACCTCAAGCCCACATGTATTGGTCACTTGACGAAGATAAAGGAGTACAGTTTGTAAAAGACTGCATGAGCCGTAACAAATTTACCTCCATAAAACGTAATTTGCATTTAAGCGATAGTGGACAGCTTGGTACAAGTGATAAGTTTTGTAAATTGCGCCCATTTTTAACAAAATTCAATGCAATTTGGTGTGTTCTCACACAACATATCTATACAGTGTATACGTGCCAAAAGTCCAAAGTACATTTACACGCCAATTGTTTTTCGCAATACCATTCTTAACAGATTTAGCGGTGTGTATACGCACCAGTGTTTTTCTCTTAAGTTATGTACATGAAAAAAATTTTTGTTGTATTATTGCCTTAATTGGGCTTTACTTTTTACTTATTTTGTAAAATTATATTAATTTTTCTTACCGTTGGTAAAAGATGGGTTAAGATACTACAAAAAAATGGATGTGTGGAGACCCACGTCCTTTATAATATTCTTGTATATGCGTTATTGGATGGAATATTCATACGTTGGATAAATCACAATTTAATATAAATGGATAGTTTAAACTGAAAAACTTGGAACAAAAATTACTTGACAGAATACAAATGACAATTGACAATTCTGGATCCATAAATAGCTGTTCCAACAATGATAACTGACAAGTGACAATTCTGGATTCATAAAAACGTCTTCAGCAGTCTTAAAAAGCCACGTTTTTTATACTAACTAGACCGGATATGCATTAACTAATTGCAACAGTCTTTTTATCGCTACTTTGACCACATCGCCGCTAATTCTGAACATCGACCGTACTTATTTTCATTTCTAGCTTTACTGTATTCAACTATATAGTTTCTTTAACTGTATTAAATGCTCTGAATCTAAAAGGCAGGCAATGCAACGGTATATGACCCAATTTTATTTTGGGAATGTCGTATATGTGGCAGGAAAATTTCCTGTAGTGTAGGTAGGCATTCAAGAAGTACGTTAATAGTAATACGTATCTAGTTTTTTGGTTTTAGAAATTGACAGTGGATGACACGTTTTTATTTCTCAACCGATTCTACTCATATATTTGAAAGAATCTTGGTTTTAAATAGAATTTATTAAAATCTTGTTTCGATACTTTCATGAATTTTTCAATTCCTATAAAGTTCCCCGTGGATATCTGGAGTTTTTGTGATAATCTTCAAAAAATAAATTATATTTAATCATACTTAATAAATACACTCACTACTTAGCAGACATTAAACTTTTTAAAACAACCGCATGAGGGCGCCAAAAATAAATGTTGCTAGTGATTTATTATGTTCACTTATTTGAATTAATCTCACTATTATCTTACGAAATTATGAACAATAGGTTTACTGCTACTAGAGGTAATTACCAACATGCACCACTGTCAATTTCATAATTTTGTTATTCAACAAACAATAAAGTACTTAGTACTCAATTTAATATCGCAATATTTTTGGTTTGTTCCCCTCCCTTTCGTAAAATTAAAAATCAATGCCTGCGTACACTTCGTGTGGGACAATGTCAGGTATAAAAAAATAAATATACATATAATAACTGTGTAAAAATAATTTCTTCCTATGTAGAGATGGGTTGAAGCCATGGGTGATCTAATACGTCTTCGGCTGAAAACCTGTAATAAAAAAGATTGTTTACTCATTATAACAAATTAGTTCTTTCAGTTCTGACGTATTCTTGTTTTATAAATAATAATGATAAAAATAATATTTATTCCAATTTTCATTGCACAGGGAGTGTCAACAATAACGTTACAGCTCAGAATATATAAAAGCCCAGAAAGGAGCATTTGTTTCTTACAGTGTTGACTTTAGAAAATATCACACTAAGAGTGCAGTACGGGTAATATAGGAATGCACAATTTCCGGATTTCACGCCTTGTGCTTGGCGATACAAACATGTCCAAGTGGTAGTCACAGAACCGTACCCAGATCTCTACGCCGGGCTCTGTTATTTATTATAAAATAATATATTGATAAAATAATTACCTTCAAGTAGCCAAATAAGAGGCATGCATTTGAATAAAAAGACCTTAAGTTTTTAGCGAGAATTTTGTTATAAAACTGTATACTTTATTAAACTAACAAATGTATTTTAAATTACATTTCTTGATAGTATAAATATACCGGGTGGAACCTCCGGAACTCGATTTCCGTGCACCCAGCCCAATATCCAAGAAAAACATTTTCTTTTGTAAATATGTGAAAAATTATCAGGAACGGGAATATCGAAAAAGCTTTGCACATTTTTAATCCCGGCGATGTTGTTAAAAAAATAAGTTGCGCACTTGAATCACTGCGAAATTTTAACACCTACTATAAAAATTTTTTTGTGGAAATCTGAAGTGCAGTTTTTGTCCTTGTTAAAACATAATGCAGTCTCGCATTTTTTTACACACAACATAAGTTTACCTAGTTCCTTGGCATAGCAACCTGGTAGTTTTCAGCGAAACCTTATGTTATTCCATATGGGATAATGGTTTTCCTTGCCCACACTTGATCAGATGAGCAGGTATAAGGTTAAGATTAACTGGCGTACCTCGTCGTTTTTAAAAGTGGTATTATGGGTACCTACATATTGCTTAACTTGGTTCCACACCATTTCTATAGGATTCAATTCGCAGTGATATGGAGGAAGCCTTAAAATATAAACATTATGTTGTGAAGCATACTCATCAAGATGATACTTATCGTATTGATCTTTAAAAGCACGCGCTGCTTCTAATAGCTCGGATTTCAAATAACACTCCTCGATATTGAGTGTCAGATTTTTAGGGAAGAGTTGCTAGCAATATTGCCGCTGAAAGGTAACACTCGAGGAGAAGATCTATTCAAGTTTATTGATGAATTAATTTCTAAATCTAACATGAGTTATAATAAAATGATTTCGCTTTCTACAGATGGGAATCCAACAATGATTGGCAAAGAAAAAATATGTAGTAAATAGGATCAGGGATAAAAATTCAAATTTAATAACATATCAGTGCATAATACACCAGGCAGTCCTTTGTGGAAAACTTAGTGCTAGCCTAAGAAGTCATGGACAGTTTAGTAAATTAATTACTATTAAACTGGGAATAAGCCACAATTAAAGATAAAAATACGTTTATTGACGTTTCAATTTCCACTTCAGAAATCGTTCTCAAAATACAAACAGTAAATTAAACAAATTTTGTTTTTTGTTACATGGTGAAAAATTCTTCTAATAATTTAATTTTATCTGACTCATTTATATTGACAATTCAGAAATACATTATGCATTTTAAAGTAGACGACTTTAAAATGATATTGCCAATATTGTTGAGTTGCGCTCCTGGGACGACTTTACTTATAAGATAGTTCATTCGATTACATGAAATCAACTTTCAACTTGAGAATATCCGTCAGAAAAAAATCATAGCATGTAATTCGTCTTTAAAAAGACAAACACATGACATGATGACAGTAAAATTCTCCTGTTAGTGATTCCATAGTAAATTATGAGGGAAAAACCAGGAAAAAAAATCTCATAATACTATCCCGACATTGTAAGTATTTGTTCGTGAATTTAGTTTACCTTCAACAAACATCAAAATTCTGATTTTATATGTTACGTTATTTAAAAAACATGAATGATGTATCCTCTATATGTTACTGACTTACTAATACTGGTATTTTCTTATTAATAACTTCCTCTTTCAATATTGGTAACCAGATCCTACTTACATTCTGCCGAGGAATTTGCGACACAATTGGCCTCATTTAGCATAATTGGAGCCGCTTCTTTGATTTTTCTTTTTTACCATCTGTTTCTTTTGGACTACATTTGAATTATCCATTGAACCCATTGGATCCATTATGGATCCAATGGTTCAATCCAGCATTCACTATCCAGCATAACAATAAAATCAGAATTTTGATGTTGTTGAAGGTAAACTAAATTCACGAACAAATACTTACAATGTCGGGATAGTATTATGAGATTTTTTTTCCTGGTTTTTCCCTCATAATTTACTATGGAATCACTAACAGGAGAATTTTACTGTCATCATGTCATGTGTTTGTCTTTTTAAAGACGAATTACATGCTATGATTTTTTTCTGACGGATATTCTCAAGTTAAAGTTGATTTCATGTAATCGAATGAACTATCTTGTAAGTAAAGTCGTCCCAGGAGCGCAACTCAACAATATTGGCAATATCATTTTAAGTCGTCTACTTTAAAATGCATAATGTATTTCTGAATTGTCAATATAAATGAGTCGGATAAAATTAAATTATTAGAAGAATTTTTTCACCATGTAACAAAAACAAAATTTTTTTAATTTACTGTTTGTATTTTGAGAACGATTTCCGAAGTGGAAATTGAAACGTCAATAAACGTATTTTTATCTTTAATTGTGGCTTATTCCCAGTTTAATAGTAATTAATTTACAATGCCACAAGAAAATAGCTTCAGAACAATATCAGTTTAGTAAACTTAATTAATTTTATGAGATCTCATTTTGCTCTTCAGCACCGAAATTTCAAGGAGTTTCTTTCTGAATGTGATTCAGCATATTCTGACTTACTACAACACAATAATGCTCGTTGGTTAAGAAAAGTCAAGTTATTGAACGTTTCTGGCTAATAAAAGAACATGTGATCTCCTTCTTACAAAATATAGATACGCATGTAGCCAGGGCACATTTGGAGTATATAACAAACAGGGGCAACATGCTGCTTGTGGCTTAAGATATTTTAAAATATTTGAATGCGCTTAACACAGAGTTACAAGGAAATGGAAAATTAGTAGGTGTGCTGATACAAAGCCTGTCTGCTTTTCGTCGTAAGCTGGATATCTTTGAAAAAGATATTGCACAACAAGAATTCGTTCATTTTCCAGCTATTCTTGATGATAATAAAAATAAGGAGTACACCGCAGAAGACATTGCAGTGTTCGTAAAACTTCTGGGCGATCTTAGGAACGAATTTGCTTCAAGATTCCAAGACTTTGCACAGGTAAGTAAACTATCTTCATTCTGTCCAAACAAAAAATGAACAGATGTGGCTGCTAAGCTGTTTAATATGTCAAAAGCATTCCTTCAAATGGAGATTATTGAATTAGAAGAAGATTTGTCCTTTCACGTTTATAAATCGGCAACCGCCGAAGAATTTTGGGCCAAACATGTGCCAGTAAAATATGAAAATTGCAGACAACTTGCAATCAATTTGGCCACTATGTTTGGCTCACGTATATGTGCGAAACGTCTTTTTCCAAAAATGAATTTTTTGAAAAACAAATATCGCTCCCGATTAACAGACGCCCACCCCTTTGTTGTTCGAATTTTTCGTATTAATTTAAGGTCTTTTGTTTTATCATTACGAATGTATCAAAATAATAAACATCTTGTCATTATTAAAAGTGAAACTAGAACAAACCATGAAGTGGAGATATCCAGGAGTGGCTAGTATACCTGTTGAATACAAAGCACGTGGTGTTCGTGTGTATTAAGGTATAAAAAATGCTTATTAAAAGCTTAAAATTTTTATTTTAAAGATCTTTTCGAAATTGAATCATTCCATCATCAGTTTACTAAAAGAGAGAGTAAAAATACCAATATTAAAAACAAGTGAGTTAAAATTTAAATATATAAAAAGAACACGTTGGTTTTTTACTACTTACATAAAAAGTTGTTAAAAACATTGCATGGCCACATAAAAACATTGGAAGGACATCCGTATTAAAAAACAACCCTCATGGTATTTATAAAGGTAAATGCAATAGACTGTTAACTTGTTGATTATTAAAAACTGAAAATGGGAGCATCTTACATGACCCCCTGTAGCTGGTGAGGTTTTATATCGACTTACATTACCTCTGATCTGTGCTGGAGTCTAGGGCTAACTGATAGAAAGATGGTATGAAAATTCAGTTAGTACCCGTCAATGTCAAGTGGAATGATGTAGTAGGAGCAAAAGTCATTGTGCTTAAGTTTGTGAATAGGCCGTTTTTAGTAAAGAATTGTGTTTTGTGTTTAGTAGGATCAATAACAATTTTTGGGAGAGTGTTGGACAGTGAAATGGTAATGAGAAGTAGGATGGGGAATCTGAAGTAATGTTAGGGTAATCTGATTGTTGAAGCAATTTACGTTTCTTTTTATAAATGAGTATATGGATGATATCAGGTTATAGCCATTATTGAAAGCAATCTGTTTGATTATGTTTAGTTCTCGGGTGTAGTTGATGTTGGATAATGGGATGGTTTCTAAACGATGAATGAAACTGTTGAATGCAGATAATTTGTGTGAAATGGGATGGTTAGAATTGAAATGTATGACATGATCTGTTTGTGTGGGTTTTCTGTAGATGCTATAATCAAAGACGTTATTAATTCTATTGATGGAAATGTCCAAGAAATTTATTCTAATTCCATAGTGAATTTAATATTTAGTGTTTTTTTAGACCTTGTTCAAATTTTCTTCTAGTATCCGGACCCCACATAAAATTACTTGCCGACCCCTGCATTATTCTATTACATCCGCGCAGAAAATACATTTTGTCGTATGTGTAAGTGTAGGGGTTACTCAAAACGTATGTCTCGCTTAGCCTTCAGACCGTACTTTCCCATGTCTGACGTTAAATATTACTTACATTTTCACTTAAAATATCAAATAAAGTAGTTAAAACACTCACCTGAGTTCTGGGTCGAGTTGAAGCATATTTTGGATTAGTTCCTTGGCGCAGGACGAGACGTCTTGCCAGTATTCTTCGGGGAAATCGTATTGGCCCGATAAAATACAATCGAACAACTTTTCTTGGTCGTTGTCTTGACTAACGAAAGGGGGGTAGCCGCAAAGAAGTATATAAAGGATAACGCCGGCAGCCCATACGTCGATCTTGAGTCCATAGCCTGATTCGGCCAAAATTTCTGGTGCGACATAAGTAGGAGTTCCGCACACAGTATATAAAGGCTTCGTCACTTCGCAGGCTAATCCAAAATCTCCTAATTTTAATAATTTCACTCTATTGTCGTCGTCTAATTCTACTAATAAATTTTCGGGTTTAACATCTCTATGTACTATATTTAGACTGTGTAAATAGGCTAAAGCTGATACTAAATTGTTAATCATTAAGGCTGCTTGCTCCTCTGAGTATTTTTGAGCAATTGTGATTTGGTCGAATAAATCACCACCCGTGACGTATTCACAAACTAAATACAAAATACTTTTGGTATCTGCGTCGGCTACCAACGACATAATATTGGGGTGATCCACCTTCCTGAGAATCTTCACTTCGTTTTCTATCATGTCCTCTTTTCCTTTACATTTTGATTTATCTATTATTTTTAAAGCATATTCTTTGTTTGTGGTGATGTCTCGACATAGTCTCACTATTGCAAAATTACCTAAAAAATAATTACATAAGAAAAGTAATAATGAAACAGTAAGTACTAAAATACACTACGAGGATTTTCAAACTTCGAGAGATAATTAAAAAAAATTAAATTAATCAATTTTTGAAACAGCTTTTCTAATCCGTCAGTGTTTCTATATCTTAACACCTACTCAACAGCTCTTGTATATGGCTAGAATAGGAAATGATTTATCCTTGATATTAAAAAAATTATAAGTTGTAGAAATTGTGGCTCGAAGGACCATATTTTAGCTAAAAGTTAAATTATCGTAGCGCCATTGGCGCCTTGCGCCCTTGGAAAGCAATAGAATGATTTCTTTAAGAAACGATTATATAAAAACTATAACAATATAAAGAAAAATCAAATAAAACATTGTATATTTAGATGAGGCCTTCTTTGATACACATGACACCGTGAAAAAAAAATTAAAAATGTTCTAATGCAATACAATTTAATCCAATAAAGGACAGAAGTTTATTACTCTGCATTGAACTTGAGAAATTGATGTATCGACGATGCATTGTTTTATAAAAATAGAAAAAACCGCAAGATTGACACATAATAAAATAATATCTGCTCGTACTTACCATCTCCAATAACTTTCCTTCCTACTACGTATTTAGTTTTAAGAGGAACTGGTAAAATTAAATTAGTTTCTTCGCTTAATTTCTTTAATAAGCTCTCTTCAGACTCATAGGTTCGATTCAATTCCTTTTTAGGCATTTTAGGCTTAGGACCCCCGCTAAAATAAAAAAAGCAAAATCATTTTGTTACTAAATCTCTTATATTTTAGTATTATTTAGGGCAGTTCGTTAATCGTTTAGTGCGGACAAAAAAGAGAAAACCTCTGCAGGAAACAACTGCTGTAGAGGTTGGTCTAAAGAACTCCTGCATAGATGAAAACAAGGACGACTTTTGATCAGATAAATATATGACATAAAAATATTAAGAAAATTTTATTAAGAACACCCTCAAAATTTTAATATATTAAGAGAGATATGCACAGCAATAAATGTATGATGATCAAAGTCTCAATCCAATTTTATTAGCTGTTAATAATAAAACCTACTAAAATTGCACATAAATAGGAATTTTGAACCTATTTCGACAAATTACTATTGAAAAAAATGGAGGAAACTTCCTTTTTCATTCAATGAACAAGCAATAAACAAATAGCTTTTCGCCCTTGCAGAGTCATAAGCATATAGCGGGCAGGTACTTGATGTCACCATTCGCAGTGATTGAAATTTTAAAATAGCTACCATTTAGCAGGCATAATACACGTACACGTAATTAATACGTACTCGTCCGCTATGTGCATGTGATTCAGCAAAGGCGAAAAGCTATTTGTTTATTGCTTGTTCAATCAATGAAAAAGGAAGTTTCTTCCATTTTTTTTTTAATAGTAAATTGTCGAAATAGGTTCAAACTTTGTATTTCTGTGCAGCTTCTAGAGAGCTATGCACCATGTAAAAAGTTATCAGGATTAAAAGTTACCCTAAATCTTCATTTTTCGACATAAAATTTTTAATAGCTTTTTTTAATAGAGGTACATATTACATAGTACATTATCTAGTAGAAGGTTTATTCCTGCTGTAATTCCCGCCTGATATATTTTGTTTAATACAAAAGTTTCATAAGTTTAGAGAGAAGAAGTTATTTCATAAATTTATCAAAATGGAAAGTGGCTTTGCAATTGTATGAAATTTGATGGAACGCAATTATAACTATTCGATAAACTGTTTTCCAACAGCAATCGGAAACAAAGTTTCCTATCGCAAAATTCGTTTTAATGTAGTGTCATACTTTTTCTTTTCCAACCAAAGAAAAATAAATAAAAAAATCCATCGAAATAAAATTTCAAGATATCAATATAAACAAATTGTATATAGTAATTTAAGATAAGATTTAGTGTAGATAAGAATAGAAATTTGTTTGGCAAACGACCTTTTTCCGTTTCAAACAAAATTATCAAAAAACCTTTGTTTAGAATTAGAAGACATTTTACCTGTAAGTTAATCTTTTCATTGTTTGTATAGTCGAGTATTAAATGACCATATTTTAATCTTTTGAAATATGTATAAATGATGTATTGAAAAAAAAAACCAATTTTAAAGTAAGCTATTTAGTTTTCTCTGAAACCGAAATTAGGCTTTTCCAAAATCATGGTAAACACAATTTAAGCTTTTTGATTGGACGGTCGTTTTTAAATGGGAATTTGGTGAGTCGATCATGAGAGAGGAGAAGTTAGTCATATTTTGGTCATCGAAAGGAAACAGTCGTTTGTCTCAAGATAGGGTGTGGTTCGTGAGTTTGGATACCGGCGTAACGAAAAGAAGTGAATAGTTTGAAGAAGGAGATAACAAGTGGATTAAAAGAGGTCCTTGTATCTACCGTGGGCATTTTATAAAGTATATGTGAAAGTATTCTTACGGCAGCAAGTTGACAAAAGGAGGTCCTGGTGTCATAAATAAGTAGCGGAGTTTGGAGAAGTGAATCAGGTGTTTTTTGTGTAGTCTGAAGGAGGTTTGCAGAGACGTAAAGAAGGAGCCGAGGTGCCAAAGAGGGGAGATCACATATTTGAGGAGACTGGACTTTTCTGGGTATGTTCCAACATACAACTCAAGAAGAAAATAAACTGTAAGTGTTTGTACAATTGAATTTTATATCTGTGAAGGATCGTTTCGACATCATGGTCATTATCATTAAAATTTAAGAACTGAGGTTTTGTTAGGCTAATCAAAAGTTTAAAGTTTTGTGGTTTCTTTTTTTCAAGTAAAGAAAATTTTAAGTAAAATTGGTTTTTCACGTAATATAAATGTATGTAGCTTTATAATCTTATTATCATAATAATTTGATTTATTTTCTTGTATGCTGATTGATAAGATAACGACAGAATTTAATAATTGTTTTATTCGTTCATATAAAATAAAGAAACGTAAATCTTTGTAATATAATATATTTGTATTCTTATCCTTTTCTTCTCTATCCCGATAAAAGACAACTAGAAAATCTTTTGAATCCATCGAACACAGGTAATAGGTATAAGGATTATTTTACTTTTGATAACAAATAAGTTATAATTCTTTTTTATTGGCTCAATAAACTAAGTTTGAACTCAAAATAAACAATCATAACAGTAGTTTTTGCGAAAGGAAAAGTTTTTCACATTAGCGAAACATAGGCGTTGCATTTAATTTTTAACGGGTATAATACCTTCAGTAAATTAATTAATACTTTGTGAATGGATGTCTAATACCCCATCGAATCGTTGAATTAAAGGTTATTTAGACCTCGCTTGGGCGATGCGCCCTTCAAGGTAAGGGCCAGGGACGTCAGTCTATGGTGACGGGTGGTGGTGCTTAGAAGCACTAGTCAGTCACGGGTTTATTGGTGTTGTTTAGTGGTGCGTATTGGTGTTTGTAGAGGAGGTATTGGTCTATGAATCATGTAGTTCGGAAGAGGTACCTTAGCATGCTACCAGCAATACGGTGGGAACGGCTCTTTTCGGTAAGCATTTTTGGCGTGTAGTTGGTTAGTATCTACGGTATCTTAGAAATGTGTCGCTTCTAGGATATTGAAGTACTGATCGGGAAGTTCGTTTCCAGCCAGTTCAGTCGTGGCTGGAAGGAAGGGAAATTTTCTAACCGGATGTTCTTTCTCATGATCTTAATCAAGATCTTTCTTTCTGTGGCCATAAAGCGTTAAGTTGGGTGTTATGGGTGGGGTTAAACTCAGTTTTCCAATTGAGGATCCTCTGAAATTGAACACTCAAGTAGTTGACTGAACTCTGGAAAGCGAGTCTAGATCCGTAGAGCTCCAACAGGTTACTATCCGCATCGATCCTGGAGCCGGGTATCTGAAGAGGATGGCTAGTGTCTTGGTAGGGTTGAGCGTAACTCTCCATTTGTTGCACCACTTGACAACTTTGTCAAGTTGGGTTTGAGACCTACTAATGCAGAGCGGCTCCTTATAGTTCCCTCTACTGTGCCTGAGGCGATCAATGCTGTGTCCTCAATGTACAGTAGGATGGTTTCGTTCTGATCATAGGGGCGTGAGGGGTCACTGTAAATTGTGTAAAGGATAGGAGCTAAAATTGAGCCTTGTTGAGAATGTTAGAATAGAATGTTAGGTAGGTTGGAATGCCCAGTTAGCCCTAGACTCCCGCACAGATCAGAGGTAATGTAAGTCGACAAAATTTCACCAGCTCCTGGGAGACATGTTAAATACCCTCAGTTGTAGTTTTTATTAATTACCGTAAGTAGATGGTCTATTGCATTTACCTTTGTAAATTCCAGGAAGATTTTTTATTACTGATGTCCTTCTAGTGTTTTTTTTATGTGGTCCAACAATTTTTTATTCTAACAACCTTTTATCCTAACAACTTTTTATTAAACTGATGATGGAATGATTTAATTTCGAAAAGATCTTCTTTAAATAAAGTTTTAAGCTTTTTATAAACATTTTTTTATACCTTGATACACATGAACACCACGGGTAGAATGTTGGTCGCTGATTTTAACTCTTATAGTCCGATTGGAGAGATATGAGTGAATGGTTCTTAGAAAAGTAGTTGGCAGTCCAGCAAGGCGTAGTTTTCCGATCAGGCCTGCATGCCAGACTTGATCGAAGGTCTAGGAGTATGCCTATGGCGATTTTGCCTTTTTCATTGAGTACTCTGGATACGAAATTTGCTGATTCAGCTAATGCATTTTGTGCGAAGTGATCAGCTCTGAATCCAAATTGGAATTTTGGAATGATGTTAGTATCTAGAAATTCTACGAGTTTCTCCTTAAGGATCCTCTCGTAGACTTTACCTAGTGTGTTTAGGAGTGAAATTGGTCTGTAGAATTCAGTGCTGATTAAGGATTTCCCTGGTTTAGGGATCATGATTTTGCTGGCCACTTTGCAAGGGGTAGGAAAGTAATACAGCAAAAGACATGTATTGACTATGTTTGTGAGCAGCGGGATTTATACATTATATATTCCCCATTTCAAAATAAGGGACTCATAACTGGAAGGGAATAAGTTTATAAATGACTATGGTTAAACTGTGCTCACATTGGAATACATATTGACTTGTTTCAGAATGTTCTCAAAATATAATGAATCTTGTCAAATAGCAGGGTAGAATGTTTTAAGTGAGCCACTGTTTATATTGAACAGTACGTTTATATGTACAATAATTTATATGGAAAGAAATTATTCTAATAGATGCTCCAAAATTCATGCAATTTTACTAGTTAGATAATGCGGTGTCTGTTCTGCATTAAACTGTAACGAAAAAATAGAAAACCTCAGAGATTGTAGTTCATGGTCACTAAAAATTGTTTATTACACGAAAGAATCACATATTTTCAACACCATTTTCACAAAAGACTTACATCTTTACATTTACAACGTTAGATGGGTCTCTAAAACTTAAAAGTTACTGATCAACGTCAGGTAACAGTGATTTTAATGAAATTTCATTCAGTAAGATCAATATGCGAATATGATAAAATATATTTCACGTAATTAGTGATAAAAGACCATACTAACTTACCCATTTCTATGTATAGTCGTCTTTTTATACGAGTGTATGGCTTTGGTTTCCTCAAATTCCAATTCGAAATCAGTGGGCTGGGGTTTCTCGTTTCCGTATATAAAGAAAACGTCGTCATTGTCGAAAAATTGCGACAGATCGTTGACGGACTGACCTGATAACGAGTACACTCTCCTTACGGCAAACTGAACGATTTCAGAAAAGGCGCTAAGAACTTGTTCCAAACTGGGTGAATTTCTCTTATTGAGAAGCAGTCGAGAAATCTGTAAAGGCAATATCAATATTAGAATATTTGTTTCTTAAAATAAACACAACTTAAGGCAATTACACGTTTATTAAAGAAAATAAATAGGAAATAAATTATTTTAATAAATATGTATTAGTATAAGAAATGATTTGCTAGCCTGGTTTTTTGCTGTGGATATTTCTTCTTTGAAAAGTGTCATAAAATTAGTGACACTTCAACATTAATTAAACATTTCGCAATCTAGACGGTGTAATAAATCATAATTTTAAGGAAATTTATAGCAGAGGCGGTTCAAATCAAATAAGTATTTTAATAGACTCTGTCGCTAAAAATATTGTGAATTTAATACTTTTCTGTGCCAACCGGTTTTGAGGAATATAAAAATAGCTGACCCTTATTAACCCTTTCAGTACCATTTTTTTTTTTTTTTTCAGCAAACGAAAAATATATTTTTTGGCTAAAATGTACTTAAAACGCTTTTTTGTCATTAACAAAAATATAGCATGTATATATATATCAAAAAAATTATTATGGGTTTATTTGTACTCAAAAATAGTAAACAAATCTAAAAAACTAGCGCATATGAACCATTAGAAAGCAATTTTTTCTCTTTGAAGGCACAAATGGTCATTGCACTTCTGGCATTTCCATCTTGATTGTCCTGTACAACCAGAATTTTTGCACCTTAAAGGTAAAGGTAAAGGTAGCTGCTGGTGCTCTGGAAAATGATCAATATTATCAAATTCCACCTCAGTAAGAGGTCTAATTTCAATGTTTTAGCGTTTTGCAGTTAGTACTGGACTAGATACCTTGAAGGTCATCCCCGTTCTCGGTTACTGAAAGAGTATACGTTTATAAGGTCTTCACCAACTTTCATCCTAAAGTGTAGAAGGTCCATACCTTTTTGTAAAATTCCTAAAGTATGCATGTTTCGTTTATACTTTAACCAAGATTTTGTTAGGGCCATGTCAACTGCATGGAAGATTAGTCAAACAGCCCACTTTCTGCAACCTCTTTTTATTCTGTAAAACACAATAAGAGCATATGTTTTATCTATGCCACTGATGGACATATTTCAGAGGAATTTCCTAATGGCAACTCCAGAGTCGATAGAATATATAAATAAGTTAAATGTTCGTTTCTAAACATATATACACAATATATGTAAATTTCAATGTAATGTGTCAAGTGCCATACGATAAATAAATAAAATGGACTTATTATACTTTTGTATAACTTCGGGTCCACTTACTCCAATGAAACATTTTGGGTTTTTTTTTTTCAACGTTTTACAACATCTTCTGTACCAACCCTAACGAAGTTGGATACTATTATCACTGGCTTGTTATCTAACCATCTGGTTACTACAATTCCATCTAAAGAGATAATTTATTCCGTTGATCCTCTCTTGATTTTTTTGAAAAATTGTTTACATCAGTTAGAGGTGATTTAGAAAATCTCTTGATCCTAGCAGTACCAGCAACAAGTATTGATTTTTGGTTGAGAATTTAAGATAATGGCTAGTAAAATAATTGTCAGAGTACAATGCATACTTATTAGGTTGAAGTCCTTTTGATAATTGCAATACGATAGCTGCACTATGTAAATATTTCAAATTAGAAGGTTCTATGTCTGTGGTACTATCTTTATAGATTAGAAAATTGTAAATCAATCCACTTTCACCACCTAATAGATACTAGGTATATGCAGTTTTCTACATCTCTTTGGGACTGATTCAAAAATTGGTTGAACTTTCCACAGGGGTGCTAAGTTAAAAAAAAAACGATTCAATGCCATTATGTCTGTAAAAATATCAATGTTTAAAGATTTGTTCCAATACATTCGCAGTTTTGGAAATTTTAGACACCCTGTTAGAATACTAAGGACAAAAACGATTTTATTTCTTGCAGGTTACAGGGTACAAACTTCTCAATTCCAATTTACAAAGCGTACATATTCTGTAACATTCTGTAACCATTATATATTTTTTCTGGGGATACCTTGCAAGATTTTTTGCAGAACAGTCGCGTCCTTGCCCCTCAACTCTCCATTTACTAGTGATTTTTTCGATCCCGGCTGTCGCATAGACATAAAAAACAAGAAAATTTGGTGTAAACAGCTTGTTGTCCAGGCAGCATAGACAAGATCTTCAAATCTCCGCACATTTGCTAACTGTAATCTTCATATTTCAAATTTTTGAAGAATCATTGCCGAATTCTCATTGGTATCTTTCAAGACCGCAGAATGTCAAACAGGAATAGAAGTATAGAAACCACCTTTTAGCGTAAAGCTGCTTTTAAGCAGGGCTTTGATAAGCCGATGAAAACGATGAAAACGGCGATGAAAACGGCGATGAAAAAGTCATAAAATTAGATAAAAATGTTTTTTTTTTTTTAAATAAAATATTTAATTTTAACTCCTCAACAGGAAAAACTTTTCACGTCACCTTCGCCATGCAAAACGAACAAACAAACAAAAAGTTTATATAAATTAATGAAAATGGAACGAAATATTTACTATAGTGTATATATTTGTGTGGTTGGTGGACAAAAGCAGACAAGTCCAAATTTGAGTTATTTCTGGAAGCGATAAAAACTATTTTAAAATTTTAAAACGCAAACTATTTTAAAATGAATGAGTAAATGTAGCTTTTATTAATTAAAATTATGTATATAGGATACATGTATTACAATACAAATTAAAAACAACATAAATGTTAAAAATTTTGGATTTTGATTGACTTGTCCAGTTATAAGGTATTAATGAAGTTGCAAATTTTAAAATAAAAAATAACAAATATTATATTTTTATAATTACGAAATAAACATTAAAAAATACAATTTTAAAAGGACAAAAGCATAAAGTTCGAATAATTTATTTCTTTATTATCACTTACAAGTTCGGGGTGAGTATTTTGAGTTGTAGCATTCGTATGCAAACCTTGATAAAAACTATGAAATAAGGTAGGAATTAGATCTCGCAAGAGCGAGATAATGTCTGCTTTTTTATCTAGAAATAGGGTCTGGTTAATTAGTTATAATTGGAACTTCCGAAGGTAGTTGATCCCGTCTTCTGTTGAAATCAATAGTCTTTAATGGGTCTTCCCTATTAAGGCTGTCTATGAATTGAACGATTGCCAAGTCTTTCGTATATCGAAGTCATCTTTTGTCCAGCCATCAGAATTGACAACCATCAGTGTCTTTATTTCTTAGTACCATGCAACCTTTAATTAAGATGAGAAATCAAAGAAGTCTGTTTGTGACATTTCCATAACAGTAATTTACAGCTGCTTGAACGTACAAGTCGCATCCAGTCATGAAGGTGAAATATTTGAATGTCAGTTCTCTTCTTTTTTTTTTTATTATACTGTATTCAGTATCTACTTTCAAGTGAGTGTGACCTGGTACCATAAACTTATGATCCATTTGTATTTCGAAATTGTATGTCCTTAAATGTGGAACAGTTTTGGGAGTTTCTGTATCTTTCCTTTTTTCATCATACGCTTGATCAGCTTCCATTTGGTGGGATTTGTGGTCTGAAGAGAGTTTTTCTTTCTGGTCATCTGCATAATGCATCTGGTAATCTGCATATGTGTTTAATTGCATAATAAATTATATCGCAGGTCAAACATGTATCAATTTTCGACTGTTTAAATTCGAGGTTAAACTTTTTAAATTCCTGTGAGGTTAGAGAAAAGTTATGTGAGATGATAAGTACTTCTTCGATGTGTACTTTCGTGAATAGTGACTTTCGTACAGTGGAAATGAAAGTATATGATTATTTATTTCTATTCGTTTTTCTTCACTAATTTTCGTTTTTGGCATAGTCTTTCCTCTTTTATCTTCTACATCAGTACCTGCGATCGTAGATTTTATCTTACTGGCAATAGTTAAAATAAAGTTTTTGCTTTCATCGAAAACGTTAAGAAGACAACTACGACAGATAGGCTCTTTATATCTGTTTATAAAAAGAGAATAAACCAAAGTTCTTGACCTGCATTTAACCTTGTTCAGATCCATTGTTCTTGGTCGATGTAAAGCAGGTTTTTCATTTGAATAAGAGATGCCGTGTATGTTGCTCTCTTTGACTACGAACCTAAACCTCAATACTTATTAAAACACTTTTTTAACTCGTTTGCATTAAAGCGATCTTTACATTTCATTAGATATGAGCTTAATACTTTGGCTTAGCGTGAACGTATTGGTTTTCCTTGTAACGTAAGATAACCTTTTCCTAAATTTCGCTGTAATTTCTTCTCTCGTGAGTTTCCTTGTGCTTTGCTTTTCTATAAGTGCCTACTTATACATTACCACGGTATAATATTAACGAAAACATTTAAATTGATAAGAAACGTGGGAAACGCAATGTAATAATATTAACAAAAACATTGAAAGTGATAAGAAACGTGAGAAACGCAATGTAATCAATACCGAAATTTCAAATTGAATGAATCATTTACAGAATATTCTTTTTTTATAACTCTCTCAGTGTTTTTTAGTCAGCAATTTCTCTGATAACTGTACCTAATCAGTTAAGTCACACGTTTTGGTTAGGATTAGGTATACACCGATCTAAACCAAATAAAAGGACTTGATGGGTTATGTTCCATCTCTAAAATGGATAAAATTGTGAGTATGGAAAAGATCACTATTTGATAGAAAACCACAGGTATAACATTTGACTTGTCTTTTTTATTCTAGCGGTAGATATTTTTTTTTAGGTGATTTTAATAAATACAAAAATTTTCTGAAAAATTGACTTGTCTGCTTATATCAGCCGACCACACATTTATTGTACAGCATTATAAAATGAGACCCGATTAAAAAATGACAAACTCATCCATATAAAGAAAGATACATTAGTATTGCAAAATAGAAACGGAATAATCTATCATCATGAATTAAAAAACAAGTTGTAAAACTGTAATATTTCATCCGTCGCGAAAAACCGACAGGCATGCAATCTACGTTTTAATCTAAACGATAAAACACGCGATGATCGCACGATCTTGTTGTTTTTTGTTCATTGTATATCAAACCGATATTTTCCACAAAATCGCAATTTACAATCATAAAACAATCGATAAACGGGACAAAATCAACTAGGCCATACTGCAAAGTTTGGTCGATCATTTGAAAAAGAAAAATGTTGCCGAAGTCAATCTGAAAATATTTACGCAAGATTTTAGTAGGTTTATGCCGCTCGGGAGAGTTTTTAAAAACGATTTAGTTCAATAAAAGTTACTTCGTACTGTTAAAACTTCACATTAAAAGAATTGAAGTTACAGAGCCAAAACCCTTTCCTCTTATTTTCCAAGAAGGCGGCCAGGGGACCAAGATGACGACCCCAAAATCTTGAACTTTAGCCCAGGCTGTGGGGGAAAAAGGGTGATTTTACACTGTAAAATTTAACTAACTTTATTTATACTAATATTTCATGTGATGTTTGCGTTTAAATAACATTTTACATAAGACGCCGATTGACCATTTACCTACTGTGTAATGCTCATTAAGATATTAAATGTGTGGTCGGCAAACATAAACAGACAAGTTAATTTTTGAGAAAAATTTTTGTATTTATTAAAATTACCTAAAAAAAATTATGTTCCGCTAGAATAAAAAATACAAGTCAAATGTTTAACTTGTGGTTCCCTATCAAATAGTGATCTTTTTCATACTCAAAATTTTATTCATTTTAGACCAATCTAGTCCTTTTATCTGTTTTAGATCGGCGTATACCTAACCAAACGCTTGACTTAACTGATTAGGTACAGTCATCAGAGAAATTGCTGGCTAGCGAAAAGACTGGGGGATTATGAACAAAGGATACCTATTATGTAAATGATTCATTCAATTTGTAATTTCGATATTGATTACATTCCGCTTCTCACGTTTCTTATCACTTTCAATGTTTTCGTTAATATTATTACATTGCGTTTCTCACGTTTCTTATCACTTTCAATGTTTTCGTTAATATTATACCGTGCGAAATGTATGAGTATGCATGTATAGAAAAACAAAGCACAAGAAATTACAGCGACATTTAGGAAAAGGTTATCTTACGTTACAAGGAAAACCAATACGTTCACGCAAAGCCAAAGCTCATGTCAAATGAAATGTAAAGATCGCTTTAACGCAAACCAGTTAAAAAGTGTTTTATTGAATATTAGGGTTTAGGTTCGTAGTCAAAGAGAGCAACATACATATTCTTCTTCTTCTCGTAGCACTACAACCCGGGTTGGGTCTTGGCTGATTGCACAACTTGCTTCCATCTTGAACGGTCGTCCATAATAGTTGGGTCAGTGGGTAGCCTCATTGTTCTTAGATCTGTCTCTCCATCGCATTCGTCGACGTTCTAAGGGCCTTCTTCCTGTGGGGACTTCCTCCCATATTAACTTGGCAAGGCGGTTATTAGGGAATCTATGAACATGGCCAGCCCATCTTAGACGTTGGGATTTAATCTCTTGGACTATGTTGCTCGCTTTATACACCTGCTTGACCTCAGCATTTGTTCTCATTCGGTTCTTCTTCTTCTTCTTCTTCAGCCTTAAGTAATCCAACTTTGGACACAGGCCTCCCCCAAATCAATCCAGTGATTTCTATTTAGCTCCACTTGCTTCCAGTTGTGTCCTCCGATCTTCTTAATATCATCCGCCCATCTCATTTGTGGTCTTCCTCTGCTTCTCTTTCCTAACCATGGTCTCCATTGTTGACTTTCGTGGTTCTATCTCTTATCCTGCAGTCGGACATTGTATCCTGCGAAGCTCCATTTTAATTTAGCAGCATATTCTCCTGCGTCTTTTACTTTCGTTTTGCTTCTAATCCATTTGTTTGTTTTTGTGGATCTGGATCTACAGCTATTCACACATAACTTTACAAGCTAGATAAGTTTTTTTTGCAACTGAAAGTTCTGCCATTGCATTCCACGTCTGATCCCTTTTAATGCTATCATACACTTGCCCAAAATCTATGAAGAGATTATCCCATGAATTCCCATCCTTTTTCAAGCAGCTGTCTTAAAGTAGAGATCTGATCTGTGGTAGATCTATGTTTTCTAAAGCTGGCTTGGTATTCCCCCATGAAATTTTCTACAAACGGTGTCAGCCTGCTAAATAGATGTTCGATAAGATTTTATATGCCGTATTAAGTAGGGAGATACCTCTACAATTAGAGCACTTGGTTTGTCTCCCTTTTTATGGATGGGGATTATTACATTTTCGTGCCATTTTGTTGGTATTTTCTCTTCGTTCCATATAAGTGTTATTAGTTTGTGTATTTATCTATGTAGACTTTCTCCTCCGTACTTAAGGAATTCAGCCAGTATATTGTCAGAGCCTGGAGCTTCTCCGTTCTTCAATTTGTTAATTGCTCATCGCTGCAAGCAACATACATACAACAAGACATTTCTTATTCAAGTGAAAGAACCTGCTTCACATCGACCAAGAACAATGGATCTGAACAAGGTTAAATGCAGGTCAAAAACTTTGGTTTATTCTCTTTTTATAAACGGAAATAAGGAGCCTATCTGTCGTGGTTGTCTTCTTAACCTTTTCGATGAAAACAAAAACTTTATTTTAACTATGGCCAGTAAGATACAATCTACGATCGCAGGTGTTGATGTAGAAGATAAAAGAAGAAAGATAAAAGAGGAAAGACTTAAATTTGTTGGGCAGCGCTGATTGACACAATAGGGCAGTAAAATGTTATACATAAAGATGTTGTATTAGATATCTTCGCTTTCGCTCTACTCCAGTGGGTCATTAATACAACTGTTGATCTGATGAAAGATACGCAAATAGCAAGAATAAGATAAGAATAAAAAGGCTGACAAAATAATAAAGAAGACAAGAAATCTAGATAAAATATCGAAAAAATAATTAGTTTTACATTAGTAAACTGAAACTGAAAAACATAATCAAAGTTTTCCAAAACTTCTTATTGTCTTACGTAACTTCTTAGCATCTTGTCGTGTCCTTCGCCTCGTATACAAAAATAATCGATAATTAGGCCAAATCAACGCTGAAACTATCTCATTATCTATTTACCTTCCTATGATCTCGTTTTCTATTAATAGTGCCGATCTTCCACTGAACTAAATCACAACGCCGACACAAGGGGAATTCCGTTACTGAGATTTTCTTAGCGGATGCTATAACAAGATTCTTTAAAAATGATTCGAGTCAATTAAACGTTACTGGTCTTTTAAACTAGATTTTAAATGATAAACAAGGAATTTAGAAGTATTTGAGATACAAATAGTATATGAGACACCAATTGTGGTAAAAAGTCTATCCCAAAACTGAGAAAATTATGGCAATGAAATAAACGAATAGGTTCAGTAAATTTCTAGATACAGGAATTGCGGAATATACTTTTTCTACGAAGTATTTTTTAAACAAACAAAAATCACTAAGTGTACAATACTTTGTACTTGTTTTTTTTTTATTATTTTAAAAAGACATAATAAATGTAATTGATGAACAATTTATATCAATTTAAAAAGTAACAATTAAAATGAAAAAAAATGCATTTTTTTGCAAAAGGTGTTGAAAGTGTAGTCCGTCTGTTTCTTGTCAATATTACAATCTATCTTGGAAGTTTCGAATAAAATAATTGATCATTTCTGGAGACACTGTCTGCATTTCAAGATGTATGCGATCCTTTAAATCATATAAATTAGTTGGTCTGTTTAAGCGGCCACTATACTACTTGCGAAGTTGATCGAAGTTCAGCGAATACGAGAGTGTACACAGGTACTTCATGCGACTTCGCTTCGGCTCGTTCTACATCCGTTCTGTGGTTTTTCGCGTGGAACTCAAAGGGTCCGAAGTTCGAGTACGGAGTGTCACACTACATTACTCGACTTCACGAGTATGTAGAGATTCACCTCGCCTCGACTAATTTCACTTCACTCCGAAGAACTTCGATGGAGAGTATAGACGGCGTTTTACATAGACCCAGCCCTTAACTCGTTGAATGCCGGGGCGTTCGATCAAGGGCATTCATTGTTTATGAACAATTATTACAACAGCCTTGATCTCAGTAAATAACTTCAAATAAAAAAAACTTACGTAACAGGAACGTTAAGATTAAACAGAAAAGGACACTCGACAGAATTTATAAACACAAAATTGACTAAAGGGGGAGTTATAACTAAATATGCTGACGGAGTCGCAATAGAAAAGTGGCTTGGCAAGAGAGAAATATATTTTTTCTTCAAACGTCAAATAATGATGACATTACTTATCTAACTTGATCCTGTCAAAGTTTGATGTCTCCGCCGGCAGAAGTTTTTTTTCCCATTTCTTTACGGCGGAGGGAAAAATGTTGTCATGGCAGCAATATGAAACATGACACAAAGCAACAATACAAATGTCATTAACAACAATTAAACATCATTTTTATTTATAGTAATATTAAAAGTACACGGACCATATTGTTGCTACCATTGGCGCTCCATTGTCAGAATGTGCTAGATTGGCAGAAGATAGAAAAACGTGGAGGAACATTGGAAAAATTACCTAACAGCTTCATGATATCACGATACCTGCATCAGGTTAACGACTAAGAAGAAGAAGATTAAAAGTACAATTAGTTAGTGCGTGCAAGCACTCCTGACCACGGCGCAGTAGACGAAATTTGATTTAGTCCCCACTTCCATGTGAAACGCATTGTACTATACACTGTATATTTCCACTTACAATAGAACCTTTCTACCTTTACGTGAATTTGACTCCGCCTTCGCGCAGCTCCATGGTCAGGAGTGCTTTGAACTATCTATAATGAGGTATTTTCAAAAATATCCACATTTTTTCTAATAACTAACTCGGATTTTATCATAGAGTATCGTGACCACATTGTAGAAGATTGCCATTTATTTTCATTTTCCATTATATTAAAATATGTGAGTAAAACGTCTTCGGTAACTTGCCGTACTCCTCTTGTATCGCACCACTCTTAGAAGTGCTTGTACGCTAACCGATACTTTATTCCGGACTTGGAGGGCCCCAAACGTGCTACTGCATCATTAGCCGCGGACTCAATTTCGTTTAGGTTTTCCATTTTCGCACTAAATTTGCGCTTGCGGTTGCAACAACAATAAGCTGTCTTTAATAATTGCAAACAACTGTCAAACAACTGTAACCAGGGAGACGCAAATCCCCCGACGACTTAATTATTTTAATTTCTAACATCTAGACGACTTTGATAGTTGTCACAGTTAATTTCGGGTAAAAATAGCGTATGAATTGTACTATTTATGGTTGAAAATTGCTACGTTTGAAGAAAAAATAGTATACTTTATTCGGCAAAGAAGCGACTTTTCTTGACTTGCCCTCTAATATCGGGCGCGTCAAGAAAAGTCATGCTTCTCCGCCTCATAAAGTAATATACTATTATTTCTACAGAATTGAGCTATCAAATAATTAGTCTACAGAACAAGAGAAGACAGATGATCGAAAAGCCGAATGCTATTGTGCAGTATAACAAATACATGTCAGGGATTGATCGCAAAGATCAGATGTTGTCATATTATGTCAGTGAACGGAAAACGATTAAATGGTACAAAAAACTTGGCATTCATATAATGTCAACGATGTTACTAAACAGTTTTCATTTATTCAACAAACACTCTATTAACAAAATCTCTATAGTAAAAAAGATTTTACTATCAGAAGTTGAGGAAAAACCTGCCGATGTAGAACAAAAAAATCTTCAGAGCTGGACTACTCACCTTCTGGAAAAATAACATTCTGATCCCAAGGGAAGACAAATGAGGAAAAGATGTAGAATACGCTATGAAAATAATATACGTAAAACACGCCATTCTTTTGTGCTTTTTGTCCCGATAAGCCTGGGCTTGGCTTGGAGACTGCTTCAGACTATTTCATACTATCAATTAAAACATCTTTCATGGATTGTTAAATGTTTGTTGTTGTTTAATAAGCAATATAAGTTTATATGATTGATATATGTTGTCTTTATTTCTAAGTTTTACATTGTAATATTGGTTTAGTTACATAACCCAACTGTTGAGTCATCGGCCTATATGTGTGGATAATAAAAACCCCATAAAAACAATCGAGTGAGTCAAGTAGGGAGATCTTGCCGGCCATTCAATTGCACCGTTTCGACCAATCCATCTTTGGAGGAAAACGGTATTCAAATATTGCCTGGATCTATCAAATGGTTTTTTACTAAACCAGCCCACAAATTAACTCTTTGTGGATATTGTGTGTAAGTCTCAACGATCAAGTGTGGATTGGAATATGACCAGTATAGGCAATTGTGTCTGTTAACAGTACCGTTCAAGCAGAATGACGCTTCATCAATAAATACAAGTAAATCTAAAAAATCATTTTGTCTATCAATTTTCTCTAAAACGGATTCAGAAAAATTCTAATCTCCGATAAAATCATCTTCTGTGAATGCTTGGTGGTTTTGAATTTTATAAAGATGGAACTTATTTTTATGTAAAATGGTTTGTAATGTCTTCTAGACCTTCTAGGTCTAGATGTTCATTTTCTTGAACATCTAGAATGACATCTACAATGGTATCTTCATCAGTTGCAGTTTTTGGTCTACCAGATTTTGAGCGATCCCGTACAATGCCGGTTTCATTAAATTTATTAAAAAATTTTAGAAGCCGTTTATCGATTTATAGGAGGTCTTTCAAGATTTAAATTGTTAAAGAATTGACTTAGTTCTTGATAAGTACGTTTTCTATCACCATTACCAATTAACATTAGTATCTAGATTCATTCTCTTTCTAATCATTTTCGCATTATTCTTAAATTATTTTTTAAACACTGCAGATATCAAATACCAGTAAGTCTAATTTAAAACTTGACATTTTATTGTATGCAAAATTTTTTTTGACATTATTTCAACGCCTACTACTGATTTTAGTTTTAAGATTCTCTATCTATCAGTGGTGTACCAAAAATAGTGAAAAATAAAAATGGATTAATAAAATTGCAATGTAATAGAATTTTTCATAAGTAATATGGTACTTTTTTGCTGAAACGAAGAAAAAATAAGCTTTTCTGTGATATATCATTCGACCTAGCTTGCTATTTAAAAAAAAATCAAAATAGCGGCGGTACTATGTTCTCTAGAAAATGCAGAATATTATAGCGCTTCACAGAAATTATACCCTGTATAGTTTCCATACTTTTTCGCTACCCTGAATAAGTTTCCTAGAATATTAGGATAAATCGTGTTTTTCCGATTATAGCGCCATCTATCAATAATTCGAAAAAACGTCTCAAATAAAAGTTTTATTTTTGCATAAAGAATCCAAATCTGACATAAAAAATGGTGAATTCTATTTAATTATTTGCCACATCCTAAATAATGTACACCTAAACATTGTAGTTTCAAAGCAATTATACGAGAAAACGAGAATTCAGAAAAGAATTAATGTAGAAAATAGAAGAAGTATGCCAAAGTAACTAATAAAAAGAAAATATAAGCAATAAGAGAAAAACTAAAATATACAAAAAATAGACTAGAGCAGACCGAAAAAGGTTTTAAGCAAATAATTTGAATTATATATTTGAGGCAAATAATATTTTTCAAGTAAAAAAGTTAAACAAAACTGAAAGGATTAGGACAGTAGATAGCCAACTTGACTCACCTTTCTGGGTTTAATTCCATTTCGTATAATATTGACGATTTTCGGTCGTACACAGTCGGGTACCACTATCCTAGGCACACTAGAATAACTGTTCAACGTGAACTTGGTGTTGGAAAGACGTTTGGACCGGAGAGTGTCCGTTTTTGTGTACTCGATTTTCTTGAACATCTCGCCCTTGCCGCACACCACGTACTCCTTTCCATCTTCGAGATCGTCGATGTTACACACCTGAAAAGAAAAAAAAACGTATATTTTTCTCCAAAAGTGAATATGTTTTTCATTTCTAAGAAATCTGAAGGTCTTTAAATTTTTTAACATTTAAAGAAATTTTCTCAATAATGTAAGACTAATATAGATGTAGTTTTCAAAAAGTGTTTGCCGCCAAAATCTATCGGCAAGGAGGGGTAGTGTGGGGTTAATCAGATCAGACTGGTACCATTCAGGTTTAGAGGACCTTCTTCTTTGGTTGCTATACGGAATAGCTGTGTTGAGGTCTTTCTACACCATGCTCTCAGGCTATCGGCCTGATTCTTCTTCGTCCTGGGGCCCTTTTTCCTTCAATTATACCTTGTTAAATGCATTGGAGTAGCTCATACCTGCCTTGATTTCTTATTATACGTTCCAAGTACTGCAGATTACGGCCCTTCACGATGTTGATCAAATAGGGGATTTAATGGCTCTAAATTCTTCAGTTTGATATATTTCATGATTTTGGACTTCTGGGGAATACTATACTGTTCGAATTGTGACAGAATTGAGACAGTTGTGTGCCTTTCTGTGTAGCAGCCAGTGTTACTGTGTAACTACGTGTTACTTTTACTTATTTAAATATAGATATTACTCCTACGAAGCGTTATAAAGTAATCACTGTTAATAAACATACGTCTATGACTGTGGGAAATATAGCTTTGCAGTTGGTGTGAAAAAATCAAGTGTTTCAAGAATATTAAGGACATTTTGATATTCCCCGATCATCGTCTCCAAAAAGAAAGGGAAAGGTGTGCGCAAACGAAAAACACTGAACAAAGACATGATAAAATTGTAATATGAAATAGAAAATTAAATCTAAGAAAGACAAGCACATACCTTAGAAGGGATTTATTGGATTAAGGTGTTGAAGTAAGGACCTAACTGTACGGAAAAAGTTTTTTGGAAGTTAGCAGGAAGGCAAGAAAAGCGAACAAAATACAACTTCTAAAAAAGAAAATGATAAAGAAAACGCTTAGCATGGGCCAAAATATACCGACTGTGGACTGGTGACGATGGAAAAATGTGATTTTCAGTCGTAAATCAGATTTATTTGGGAAGGGATATTTGGAAGGAAGTTTTGTTAAACCAAGTAAAGGTAAACCTCTGTGATATCATATCCAAAAGACTAAAATACCCTTCTACACAGATATTTTGCGGTTTTTTCACAACAAGAGCATAATGAGTTCTACCAAATATATTGAAATATTACGCAGAAGGACTATTTCATTCATTCAAACATTTGAGGGGACATCTCAACCTGACTCGGCCCCTTATCACAATTCAAAATTGGTCGAGACTTTTATGCAGGAAAATAAAATAAAAGTGCTTAATTGACCTGGTAATTCACCAGACCTAAATCCCATTGGGAACTTATGGCTTATTCTCAAGAAACGTTTAGCTAAGATGCACTACAAAAAAAATGGTAATAAGTGCTATACAAGTGTAGTTCCACGATGATGAAGTTAAGAATATGTGGGCTAATCTACTAGAATGAATAATAAAACGTGTTGGAAAGGTCATTTCTGCTAAAATAACGTCATACTTCGTACTAATTATACAGATTTTTAAGTCTACTGATGGTACGTACTGATTGAAAGGTAAGGTTTTAGAAAAATTGTTTCTTTTTCCATTTGTTCCAATTAATTCGAAGAATATATTATATTAAGCCCTAGATTTATCCTTTCTATGACTACAGTCGACTACGACTGTGACTACATTATCTCCCTGGCCATGCCATTAGATTTGACATATAATAATTTGCTTCTTGTATTTCTTTCAACCGAATTACTCTTGTGATTGCTTCTAAAATATATCGAATGCTCGCTCTACATTGATAAATGCACACAGGATTACCTCATAGCATTCCAGAACGTACTCCACCATCTGTTCGAGATGCTGCTGGGTGGTTTCCTTAGATAATCCTGCATACTGTCCCTGATTTATCAGACTTTTTTAATCAATACACCACCCCTAATGTATCTACCGAGCAGTTTTTCTAGAGTCTTCAATACAGTAATATCACACTTGTCGATCTCAGTTTTTCCTATTAAGTTTTTCCAGGTGATTGTAAAAAAATATATTTCAATATGGACTAGCAGTGGAAACATTTTTAAACCTGCATGTTTTTTTATTAACAAGTGTTTCGTTCATTTTTTTATTAGATAACCATATTATATCAAGAATACACGCACAATTGATATTAAAATTGAAAACTTCTTTGTTTTGTATAAAATTCGTATGATTAACGATACGAGCAACTGACTGTAATTAATAATATTGTTATTATATCTTAAATCTATATATTATGTTATATATTAAATCAAACGAAAACACATTCCTCAGCTTTAAAATGTAGACAATATTCAACTAAAGAAAGATTGTAACTCCTTATTATAAATATTAGAGATCACTTTTAAAATGATTATTTTTTCAGTTTTGACCAAACATTGCAAAAGTTACCAGATCCAGATTTATGTTTAAAAAGAATAAGATTATTTTATTATTTTATTAAGTACAATGTTAACACTGATTTTTGTGTAAGACAAAAGGAGTGTAACATAATAGTTGTCCACAAAAACATTCTTCTGGATAGCTACAACAGTTCTCTGTCGCAGGTTTGCATAATAATTGTCCATAACTCAAAAACCAAGAAGAAAATGTGTGGGCTTTTTATAGATATATATTTAATTTACTATTGCCTTCATTTTATTAACAAACATTCTCAACCTTTAATAAAATTTGCTTAGGATAGTTTTGTATGGAAAATTTTTAAATAGAGAAACGCCCATATATGAAAAGACGAATTTAAAATCAAATCCAATAACAGATATCAAATATATTTCTCCGAATTACTTACAATTCTCAAACGTAACTAGAGACTTGGACAATTTGGAGCACTATCAAATTGTAAATTTCCCCAGAGAGCCAGTTGGCTGCAACCAGCTGCATTTGGTTAAAAATTCAGTAAGAAGGGATTTAACAGACGTTATAGCGAAATTTTAAAAATTTAGTTCAACTGAAATACATTTCATTGTATCTTGCGATTCAATTTTAATGAAGATTTGTAATTAATAAGAATAGAATCTATAATAACTATATAATTCGTATTAATTTTCCGACAATATTTTAAATCTTAAATACATTCACTTCAGAAATACGTAGTTCTCAAAAAGAATATTTTAAATTTATGTGAGAAAAAAACCTTATTTTTTCGGTTGCAACCATGTCTCCTAAGCATTGTGTTTTTTGTTTCATGTCAAAATATGCCTTGGTTCATTTTTTAGAGCCAAATGAATTTGCCACCCACAATTTAGGACTTTTTATTATGATTATTTTGGAGTTATTTTGTAATACGACGAGATGGCTTTGGTGACTGTTATCATTATGTCATATTGACACTTACATTTTTTAACCTATGACTGATCATGGTTCTTAGTGTCGAAGATTGTGCGAAAGCCGTTGCTCTGGTTGAAGATGGGCGAAATTATGAATATGTGGCTAGAGTACTACACACTCATCGCTCTACCATCCAAAGGGTAGTGGAACGTTTTATACGAACTGGAACAAACAAGCGTAAAGCGGGAAGTGGCAGGAAGCGCAAAACTACTTTAGATGCGATCGTCATTTAACAGCTGAACGAAATCAGCTTCAAGAGGTTCGAGGCAATAATGTAAGTGTATTTACAGTTCGTCGAAGATTACATGAATTTGGTTTGCAAAGTTGCAGACCAGCAACTGGGCCCAAATTACTTCCACGGCACAGAGTGGCTAGACTACAATTTTCCAGGGAACATTTACATTGGAATTTAGGACAATGGAGTAATGTTCTTTTTACGGATGAGTCGAGATACTGTCTTCACTCATCAGATGGGAGAGAACGAGTATGGCGTCGAACTGGAGAGAGATTTGCGGAGTGCGCTTTCAGTCCCGCGTTAGCCATGGAGGGGGTTCGGTGATGGTATGGGCAGGAATATCCGAGAGGCGCACACTGAATTGGTATTTATTGAGGGTTCGTTGACTGCACACCGGTATATTGAGAAATTTTAGCGAATCACGTAGTACCCTTTTCTCAATATATCGGCGATGATTTTCTATTAATGCAAGATAATGCGCGACCCCACTCTGCAATGTGTGTCACGCAATATTTAGAGGAAGTTGGTATTAATAAAATGAACTGGCCAGCGTGTTCGCCAGATCTGAACCCAATAGAGCACGTTTGGGACATGCTTGGTAGAAATATTAGAGGTCGCGAAGTCGCACCAGCCTCAATTAACGAACTTCGCTTGGCTCTAGAAGAGGAATGGCAAAACATCCAGCAAGATGATATTCGCAACCTCATAGACAGCAGGAGTCGAAGTGTACAGGTAGTTATAGAGGCTAGGGGAGGCAATACAAAGTATTAAGTTATTTGCTTATAACTTAATACAGTGCTTCTGGGATGTCGATATGACATTGCTTTCGATTATCAGTCACCAAGCACCCATGTCGTTATTACAAATTCGTACAAAGATACTGGTAAAGCTTAAATTGTGGGTGGCAAAGTCATGTCGCTCCTAAAAATGAACCAATCCATATTTTCACATGAAACAAAAACATAATACTTAGAAGACATGGTTGCAACCGAAAAACAAGGTTTTACGAAAATCCGGTAACGGAATTATTCCACAGGAATGTTTTCAAAGTTGGATAAAAAACCACTCTTTCGATTTAACTCCGTATAATAAGTCAAATACAAAATTTTATTAAAAAACTTCACTATACTAAATTAAAATTTATAAATTTTTACACAGATTTGCTAAAAAAAAATCAATCAAAATAGGACTTAAAAATAAAAAAACTGAAATACTTGAAGAGTATGATGAAATACTTTGAATTTTGACCAAAAATTTTTCTCCGTTGCGTTTTTTTTTTGTATCTGAGTGTATAACCAAAAGAATTGTTAGTAGTGTTATGTTTTTTCAATACTGACAAATTTGACGT